TACTTAGTAGCTATAGGGTTCAGGAGCTACAGAAAGATATAGAAGATGTGGATCATAATTGATGAATTGGTCCGCTTCACTTCCGAGTATGGTTAATCGAACTACTCGGAAGTATCAGGAGCTACACCTCCTATACATTTCTGAATTGTTTCAATGGACGCGTCTGACAGTGTGATTCTTGGCATGAACTACATTCTCAATACTTATCTCTACCAATTAAAGCTGAAGACAGGACGAAGACAAAAAACTATTTACGTTGAAATTGACAACAGAGGACGATTCTGATGTGGCAGTGACGTATATAGAGAAGCGGCTACCCAGAATGAAACCTCCATTATATTACTTGATTAAAACAAAATAAATAGGCATGACGCAAGAGCCCGTTTAATGATGTTGCCACTTTTCAGAGTCCTACATTTGCAATGTAATATACGGTAATGCTCGAAAATGCGCTGACAAATCGCCTGCATTCCTCCTACGTAATACCTCATGTAACGTTACATATCCACACATCAACGTCAAAAACTGAAATCTTTACCACACAAACTTTCCAACTAAGTCTTGATGTAGTATTAGAGTACGTAGACATGGAACGCTTATACTTTCATTTAATTTGGTATAACTTAGAATGTTGAACATGTGTATTTACTCTCCAAAATATTTAAATTTTGATACATCACATCGTAGAAAAGCTACGAATCACACAGGAAAGTAATTTATCTGTATGACCTAAAGATTTAGTGTAAAACAAACTATAATCGGTTTGTCTTTTTCTTCCTATTTCAACATTGTTATTTGTTGTCCAAAAGTTGATGAAACGAGAACACCCCGGATAGTTAGGTGTAAACTGTGTATTATTTTGTCTCAGCTTGAAGTTACATCGAATGCAGTTAATACAGGACATGAATTAAGTTTCCGTGATGCAGGCTTGAATGTATAACTTCTCTTTCGGATAAGAACACTGCTGATGTCTTTGTTTGTCGATTGATGATTTTACCCATACAATATGTTGGTTGATGTCATTACTTACACTGTTATGTAGACAATACGTAAATATGCAAAGAGCGTGTCAGCAAGGGTACACGTAATGAACAAGATATCGGATAAGTTGTGCCATTATGACGTCACACATCACGTGACCTTGTGTCAAGTTTTAAATATGCATTAGGCTGATATATATGGAGCGTTACCTGGCCTGTCCATGATCAGAGTACCAAGAGAGATGGGGTCTCGTTGACTACACGTTTTATTGCATCAAATGACCGTAAAATATGATATTATGAAAAATCGTGGCCAAAATCCTTTTGATGACCAGCCCTCTGCCACTAGATCACGGGTTCGATGCCTACGTGCATTGTAGGGCTGTCGCCGGGTGCATATCGCAGGTCGGTGGCGTTTTTCCAGGTACTCCGGTTTTCCTCCACCACCAAAAACTTGGTATGTCTTTAAATGATTACAGCTGATAATAGGACGTAAAGCAGAAACAAAACAAAACTAAACTGAAGCATTACATATATGATATAAAAATATATTTTGCATTCATAAGACCTTTATTTGAATATGCTGATATAATTTGGAATAATTGTACAACCCAACTAAAAAATTTACTAGAATCTATCCACCTGGAAGCAGCAAGAATTATAACAGGGCTGAGAAGAGGAACATCACATCACTTACTTTATAGGGAATTAGGGTGGGAACCATTAGAAATTCGTCGGAAAAATCATCAATTGATATTAATGTACAAAATACTACATGGCCATGCACCTTTATACTTGCAAGAATCAATCATCCCTTTTATTAACAATAATGAAGCAAATATACATTCATTGCGTAGAAATAGAATATTTAGCCCTCCACTCTGTAGATCAAACAACTACTATCATAGTTTTTTTCCTTCAATGCTCCGCGAGTTTAATAAACTCTCACCTACTACAGTACAAGCAACCTCCCTTAACATTTTTAAGAAACTTATAAACATGTCAAATATCAGTGAAGAGGAAGATGTGAGCGTTTCAAATGTATTCAAAAATAAAGGATCAAGGAAGGGTAATATCATACTTTGTCAACTTAGAAATGGATGTAGCAACTTAAATTTTGACCTATATATTGATCATTTAAAAGATAATCCTGTGTGTTCTTGTGATTTAAACCATGAAACTGTCTCACATTTTTTTCTTCACTGTCCTCTGTTTTCAGTCCAAAGAGCATTACTAAAAAATGAACTTGAACTTATTGGAAACCATAACCATTTTCATCTCACCAACTTACTATATGGCTGTCAAACATGTAACGAAGGTGTAAATATGGAAATTCTTAGCTCTATCCTAAAATATATAGTTAAAACTAAAAGATTTGTTGAATATCGAGTATAATACCAGGCAACTTGACACATTTTGAGTTAATATATATACACATGTATATATATTTGTAGATAATAACACTTATTTATAAAAACAACATCATTCTTACAGGAGTACATCTCTGGCTGGTTATCATGATATTGTTATGCTTTCCTTTTATATTCTCCCATACTTCTTATATCTTTAATTGTTAGTATACATACTTAAGATCTGCAATTTTTCCATATATGTACTCAAATGCATTACTGTGAATTATACCACAATAATATTTACTATGGATCCTGTACAGTGTTCAGTTGAAGACCTAAACGTAACACAAGGACTGTGCGGTCTTCAATCTGATATTAAAGCTTGTATACTACATGTATATGCGGTCTATAACCAATATATATATATATATTTTACCTACATTGTATATTGCAGACTAAATCTAATTAATACACTATTCTATGGGAGTTATCCCCTTTCCCCCACCCACACCATATTTTATATAATAACTTCTTAATTATGTAAATATCTAATTAGATATAAGTACATAATTGGCAGTAGAACTATAGACAATATGTAGAAGAAATATAATCAGAATTTTAGACCCTAATTACCTGCAATTTTTCTCTATACCAAAATATGCAGACACTAATTACCAAATATAATGGATACACAAATATATTATTACAAAATAAAATGTATGTTGATTAAATTTTTCATTGACCAGAAATTAAATCATCGAACCAATTCGTACATATTCATATTGTATCCGTTACTAAATAGTTATGGTTATATCATATTATTTAATGAACAGTACTGTACATTTATTTTTGTAGTGACATATTGTCTAAAAAATAAAACAAATTAAAAAAAAAAGAGGAAAAAAAGGTTCTAACGCCAAATATGTTACTGATTTACAAACGTTAATTTTTGACAGTAAGCAAAATCTGATTATTATAAAATCAATCCATAATGTCCATATACCTTCCATCAATGGAGAGGACTTATATAGGCTATAAGCCTGTTGTCCAATCCTTTTGACAGTGTAACATTCTTCTATGTCAATAAAATATGTTGAAATCAAAAATAGTAGACTACCCATAGATAACAGTTTAGGGCAACGATGGATACGATTGAATTAATTGACATTTTTGTTCTTGCCCCTTGTTCTATAGAACGATGAAGTGCTAAACACTGTGTAGGTCTCGCAAACAATCTGTTTTTTGAAAAAGGCTGTTAGGTTAACATGCACCACAATGGGAAAACATCACCGAGTTCACAAGAGAACGAAAACTTATACAGATAATATACAGTTATGTCATGCCTTTTCACTCTTCTCTGGGTCCCAATTCTTCGGGGAAAACGCCCTTTTATATATGTAATATTTTTATTGAATACTGAGTCGCGTTTTTCAATTAAATGCAACAACGCTTAATCATTGACATCTTCAAATCTCTCCATCATTTAGAGCCTAGCGACTGTGGCGGCAGACGAACACTTTCTATTTTCTCATCGTAGTCGTCGTGATGTTTAAAAATAAGGTGCATTCGATTACATATGACCAGTGAAACAGTCGACTAGTTTATCAAGTGACAGACAGACATACAGATTTTTGTCATTGTCTTTATTGCAAGACAAACGTCGTTTATTTCATTGAACATTGTTTTCAGCAATCTTGAATAGTCGTAAGATAGCAATCACCAGTCTATCACGTAACATGTCAACAGTCGTAGGATAGCAAACACCAGTCTATCACGTGACGTTTCAACTGTCATAGGATAGCAAACATCAGTCTATCACGTGACATTTCAACTGTCGTAGGTTAGCAAACACCAGTCTATTCATAGTAACCCAGTTTGTGGCTGTGGAACGAAGATCGAACATAAAAAAATGCAGATTTAGTTTTTCTATTTTATGTTATAACTGCCTCGTCTAATCCGTAGATACAGCAAAGTTAGTCTTAGTCAATTAGAAATTCAAAAATGTATTTGTCCAGTGAACAAATGCTTCAGTTCTTTTTACATGATCTGCAAATTCTGCCAAGCCCCAAAGGAGACAAACATACAACATATCAAAATAACTTGTCATTATGTTAACATTCAAATGACGTAACAATACGTTGTCTGTGTTGACGTCGACCTGTTTTAATATGACGTAGACAGCATTACAGATTTGATAGAACGTGAAACAAAATAGCAGGGTAGACGTTCATGGGATATAGCTATCTCATAAGTATTTAAAAGTTTCTTTCCGATATATCTGCTTCCGACAAATCAACTCTGTAGTCATTTACCAATTTTGGACTTCGAATGAGCTGAACATGCCTTTATATGGACCGGGAAAAGATGTATTGACCGGGACGAAATTTAGGTCAACATCGCCTTTCACTTCCATATAACCACATATTCACCGAAAAAAGTCCTTAATTTTTATACTAGATATGGAATGATGCTTTGAAGTATCGTAATAAAGAAAAAACTAACCTTATGTATATTTATCAACTATGGACTTTTGTTGAGGTGAATATGTTGTTATATGATCCTTAAAAAGAGATATTAACCGAGACGAAGTCGAGGTCAAAATACGTTTTTTTTTTTAACTTGTCATACATTTTTTAAACAGTTTTCAAGATGACTTACAATAATTTGGAAAATACAACAGAGATTTTGTTTTCAAACAATAGCTTTAATAAATTTTAACTATGTGTACATATTGTTGAAAGCATATTGCACAAACTATACACAGTAAATCCGATAAGAACAGCTTTGACCTGTCAAACTAGACACAGGAACTCAATGGTAGAACGTTTTCCATATTACTATTTTGATATCATATCAAACAACACATAATGCATTTATTTAGCTTAAACATACATACATTCAAGCAAAGGGGCAAGGAAGTATTAACCTATTCAATATCACCAGAATATGGAAATATGGAATAAAGTCCCCACCAATTCTCAACTTACACTCATGTTTACACGCACTGAATCTCATAATTATCATAATAGTCTTCAACAATCACTATTATCTACAATAATCTCATAATAATCCTGTTTATCGTCAATAATCTCAATGATAATAATAATAAAATATTCAACAGTCTAACTTATAATTTTACGTTTATTCCAAAATCACACAATCATCGTGGTAATCGTCAATAATCCTACAATAATCTTATTTATTTTCAATAATCTTATTTATTTTCAATAATCTATAATCTCGAGTTTTCCATAATATCGAAATTAGCATACATATCTTCATTCACAATATTAATAATCTTCAATAATATCACAATAATGATTCTTATCTTTACCCATATGATACCTATATTTTTTATTTATAAAATTTATACTCCTTATAGTCTATAACTAAATAGGTGGTAATAAATAAAAACAGAAGAAGACCTACATGATTTTGAATTTGTAAAACGTGAGCTGGTGCATACTTTGGGCGATGCCTTTCTATCATCAATATATATATATATATTCGAACTCGAAAAAGCACCAATAACAATATGTTAGATTACATGTAAAATAATAAACAAACGAGAAAGTATATTTGTCGAGGTAAAAAATAATGGATATGAAAACAAATATTCTGAAAAAAATATTTCAATGTTTCACGCAAAAGGGCATGATGCAGGTTACCGTCCTATTTTTTATCAACAGTTTAAAATCAATAAAGATTCCGTATATTTTACTCCTTCTAACTTCAGCATCTTACAACCGTGCCGGGTTGTATCCGTCGGAGTTTGACGGAGGTTTCCGGATTCCGCCGAACGGGGCCGCTCTGAAAGACACTGACGTTCGTCCATCGTCTGTCCACTGCATGTATTTGAAACGGTCACTTTTGTCGGACAAAGAATCTCGTTGAGAACCACTTGCATGTGATCCAGAGTCCGAATTTGTATTCATTTGCAAGTGTTTAGATGTTTTATTAATTTTATTTTGATAGGTGCCCTTTTCACCGATATGATGTTTTAAATTCCCAATACCGTTTTGTTTAAACTCGCTTTGACTTGTATCCGGTTTAGAGACACCATTGTCGTTTGGATGAAAATCTTTTCCATTTTTCTCTATTTTATAGCCACCATTGCTGAAGGCAGTCACTGAAACAAACGAGAAGGCATACATATTTACTTTAAACGTACAATATATCGCAAACCAGAAAGTTTCCGCAACAGTATTATTGTTGCGGAAGGTTCAACCGCAAAGTAAATGACGCAGCGAAGAACATTTTCAGTTTTAGCATAATTGTAAAACATATTTCGAGATTAAAGACAAAGGTAAATCAAATCACAACATGCAGTTTGCATTATTGATACATTTCTTAATGAATAAATGTACACGTATATAGTAAAGCTTAATATTTACGAAATAAGCAAAGACACTGCTGTTCATTTACTGATGTTTTCTCATTGTTTCGGTTTCTACAACGTACATTGTTATAGGAGAGATTTATAATTACCAGAGTCAATCGTCGGACCCGGCAAACACTTTCCTGTTCCGGATACCCCTGTTTCTGAAGTTGGCTAAAAAGGGATAAAAAACCCAGATTACCGTTAGAGGAATTATTAATCACTTTTGAAACAGGTATTATTTACTTAACTACTAGTTATTAATATTTGTCATGTATGATATTTCCAGTTTGTTATTGCCTGATGAACTATTAACATGCAGCGCTCTTCCATAACCCTAGTATATTCATTTTTCTCATTGTTTTTTTTTAATTCAATATACATTATGCAATGTCTATTTTTTCATCATAAGTTGCCAATTATGTTTTTGATAACAGGAAACGCCAACTTTGCCTCCAACGCCAATCCAGTTTTTCGTACTACACGTTTGTCAGGATATCTAATGTTACATGTATATGTTACAAGCATAGATGAAAAGCTGCTGATCGGCTCCTGACTGTATGCTGGATAAAAAGTAATTTTGAATATTTTTTTCAAAAATAATAGAAGTTTTAACATCTTTTATTGTTCCTTCTATTTCATTTTTATATAATTTCGATTTACTGAATTAGTAAGGGAAATGTCTTGCTTAGTATTGCAAACTTTTATCCAGCATTTGAGTATTTTAACAGTTTTTAATTGATACAAACTTTTTTTTTACAACTATTACAACCAATAAAATAGGAGTTTTACGTCCGCAATTATTGATAAAACAGAGTGCTAAGAAATCAAAAGCAAAAATAACTCTGAAAGAATGAAAAACATGTTTGATTTACAACATATTTTAACAAGAGTACCGGGGGGCGGAACAATATACGCCCGTCGAATGCCATTCATATATATTCTAAGAGTGGTTAGCTGACATGCTATAAAAAATGTGGGAGAAAATCTCCGGACAAAAAATCAAATACTAAAATGAACAAAGGGCAATAACTTTTGCAAAAATCGTCGAAAATCGACTGAACTATTCTTCTGTGATTAAAAAAGGGGGATTTTTAGGAAAACGCTGAAGCGTAGAATGTTGATCAAATTCAGCATCTGCAACATGCTTCCTTTTGAGCAATTGTAATTGCATCAATCCCATGCAGCACTTCTAGTTGTCCAGAAACAGACTTTGGAATTTGTATTGATATAATAAATAAGAAAATAAGAATATCACTGAAGCATAAAATGTAGGTCAAATTCAGTATCGGAAAGTTTTTATGTGGTATATGAGACATGAAACATGAAACATGAAAAGACTGGATGCAGAGACAAAGTACATTCAAAGAAAATGGAAGATTTTTTTACTTCAGCAAAGCGCTAGTTTTTCTGCTACAAATAACTTACCAAAGTGTATGAACGTTGTTTACGGCATACAATTTGACCAATATAGAAAAAAAGACACTACACTATTTATATTTTTTGTTAAGGTAAACTCAGCACCAAACTGTTTCTCAGTTTAAAAAATATTACATTTTACAGCGATAAAACGCCCATATTCGTGAAACTGCATTCATGTTCAAACTAAGATTCTGTGCTTAAAGCCTGTTGGAAAAAAGGGCATGTATGAACATTTAACACGGTAGACGGCTTAACGCTCTACAATATTTTTCCCCAATCATTGAAAAATATTTATTTTTTTGGCTCAATACCAAAGCAGGAAATTGGGCTTGAACACAGAACCTGAGTTAAAGCGCGAGAACGGTTTTTCATAAATACAGGTCCAGATGTATTGGGCTTTTTTTTTTATTAAAATTAAAACGATATCACTATAATGAATTGATGATATCAATAATTGAATTAGTGATATCAATAATTGAATTAGTGCTATCAATAATTGAAAAATTGATATCAATAATTGAAAAAATGATATCAATAATTGAATATGTGTTATCAATAACTGAACAAATAATGTCAATAATTTTATAAATGATATCAGGAATTGAATAAGATATGTCGATAATTTGATAAGTGACATCAATAATTAAATTATGATGATAAACTGATGTAAAGAAAATCTTGAAGTATTCGATCAATAATTGAAAGGAATAATAAGCATTGACATGATTTTGTTATGCCTCATGTACATTCACTTACGTTTGTCTTCAATCTATTGCTGCTGCTGCCGAGTTTGCTCTTTTCTCGAGCAGACAATCCCAGACAGGGAATCTTTCTCTTGATTGCGTCACGCATCTGATAAAAAAAGTAAACACATGTACAGAAAAATAAAATACACATTTAACAAAAAGCATTTAAGGACTGAATGTTGACATAAACGAACTAATATAATCTTTCCCCACTTTGGGGGAGGACGTGTGTGTGTGTGTGTTTGTGTGTATTTGTATGTGTGTGTGTGTGTGGGGGGGGGGGGGGGGGTCGCTATGCCGAGTGCCAGACATTTCAGAATATCGCACCCGATGATGGCTGACATTTCAATGTCTTACTCTTAATAATGAATATTTATCTCCCACCTCAAATTTTAGTGGTGATAACATAACACCATAATGTTGATTGCACGTTGATTCCCAGCAAATCGGAGTTATCTTCCATGATCTGCTATTGTTGACGTGATGTCAGTGCATGACGTCATGCAGTTTTTTCTGACTAGCAAGTCCCCTTGTCTTTACCTAGGGTAAAACAGATCGGAAGTGTGGATTTCTCTCTCTAATGAGGAGAAATCATTATCTTCATTTTCCACCTCACAAGCCCTTAGTTGCCAACCTATACCCCCAAAATCCTGATACCTGGATCATATGTTGTATTAGCGAATTGAAAACAAAATAATTAATTTATTTTAATGTATGAATCGAATGATCGAAAACGAGAAATATCTGTTGTGAGTGAGTAGCAAATTGTGGTTGGTAAATACGAAATACGACGATAGTACAATCAACATTTATAGAGAAGCAAAGGGGGGGGGTGGGGGAGATATTGACAAATGATATATTCTTTGTTCGTCTCAAACACAGGTATATTCTAGTCGAGTACAATTTTCATGATTCACAAATGATAAAATACTACGTTTTACTTACCACTTTACTAAGCAAGCAGTGAAAAACGAAAATGAACAATCCCTGCAATGAAAAATACGCGGTGTTGATATACATGTATATATATGAATAAATATTAATATTTGCATGTAACAGATGTGGTTTTCATACATCGTTCACTACATATTCTACCGCCTACAAATCTTACAACGAGACCGGATAGAAAACCCCTAAGGTAAAGTTTCATTCAAAATAGACACGTTTACATGCATTTCAAAAGAGCCAGGCTGGACACTGTGGCAGGCTGCTTTAGTGCGAACCGAGTAAACCCTATATTAGCCCTAGTCGTAGGCACCACACAGGCCACCCGATTCAGAGAAAAAGAATATTAACAAGCACCTATTGTAATGACCAAATGTCCCGTAAAATTACCCACACGTAAAAGGTGCAATAGTGATCACAGTACCATTATTTACCTATATACAAAATTTCAGCAAAATCGGTCAATATCTAAATTTTGACCAATCAGAGGCATTGGCGGCCATGTTGGCCGACCCATCGAAAAACTATTTTTTTGCACAATGCCTCCATTCCCGAACAATGTTGTAAAGTTTGATAGAATACCGACAGATAGGCTTTGAGGAAAGTGGCGGAAATTCCACCGGCGTTAGAAAGTCGACGATTTATAAAAATGGGGTAAAACAATTCCAAAAGTTCGTTTCGAGGGTTTCATCAAGTTTAACCTGTGTAAAATGAATAATGCCGCTGATATTGTGAAATGTCTAATGTTAACATAGACAGTGTGTACCTAGCTCAGATCTTGCCCCGGGATAAGTAAGAAAATTAGACATGCAAAGATTTAAACATTTTCTAATATTTCAGATTGTCAAAATGCAATTTGTATCCATATTCATGTATCGACTATCAATACTGACGTGTTCATCAAGCTTAAAATGATTTCCAAGAAATTTTTTACTTCATTCACATTGTTTGACAAAAGTCTGACGACTGTTTCATTATTTTGTGGCTAGGTATTAAAATGTAATATAAAATATAACTTTCCAGAATAAAAGGGTTCAACTTCAATACTTCAGAAATTTTCATTTTTTTTTTTTTAATTGAGATGTATTTAAAGTTTAAAGTTTATTCAGGTTTCGGTTTATAAAGGTTCTCGCTGAAATATGCAAGGCTTTGCTTCGACAGGTTATGATAAAGAAATGTATCTCAATCTCAAGCAATAACAATGACTTACCTGCAATGAATTAAAAATGACAAAAAAATACTGGAACATGACAGTGTCCTCATTGACGGAGAGAACACCGAAGATCCAGGTAAGTCCTAGGAGAGGCGCCAACACGGCAACACTTCTTACAGCAGTCCTACAAAATGTTGATTAAAATATCAATTAAAAATTACGAAATTAAAGTTAAATTTTAACATAAATCATACCAGTCAATAAATCAATTAGCTTACCATTGTCATTGCTTCTTCAGTTTTCAAATGTCATCAATGTATCAACCACATTATATTTACCATAGATAAGAACTATGGAAATTGATTTGTTTATTTGTGTTGAACTTTTAGGACCCGGTATTTATTTTACAAAGTGGGGGCTTATGGATTTAGCACCGTCGTACTTTAGAAGTGGTTTTAATGAAATTATTCGAATTCAAATAAAGTATTTTGTTAACCAATCCATTAAGTTGTATTTGTTAAATTTTCCCATAAAATAAATAGTTTTTATGAAACTATTCAAACCAAAATAACACATTTTGTTAACCCATCCATGGAGTTATATTTGTTAAAATTTCCCATAAAAAAAAATTGGAAAAAATGTTTCGATGACAAGACGTATTTACTTACATCAGTTTTCCCTTTCTCGTTTTATTCATTACAAATCGAGTTGAAAATAGGGCTCTGAATACTAATACAGCTATTATAAAATTGGCCTGGAATAGAAAAAAAATGTGATTAATATACGCCCATCATATACCATGTTGAATCCATTTAGAATGACAGAAAGGGAAATATGAGGGATACAGCAGTTTGGCAGTGGGTTGAAATAGCAATATATGAAAGAATGAAAAATAAATTACAAGATCGGAAATTACTGTTACATTTTGATACCTTTACATAAATTTCTACATGGAGAACAATTGAACATGATCCTTAAACAATTTACTTTCTAAACATGATTATGTAAAGGAAATTTGCACAAACTTCAATATCAAAAATAATAAAGGAATATAACTCTCTTTATATATATGAGGGCAAAGAAGAATATCAGGAATATTAAACCCCAGACAAACTCCGGCATAAAGAGAAATAAAAATAAATGACAATAATAACACCAATTTTTTTTCATAATAGGATATTACTTTGGATTACTTTCATTAAGTGAAATTCCCTATTTCAAAGATATTTTAGCACAGTAAATTTGGTTTAGCAGTTGAACCATTAATACATGTGATAGCAGAAATGAACAAAGGGATATAACTCTACTAAAACTACACGTGAAATTCTTAAGCCAGAACCCGTTTGAGATATATTATGAACTTTGTTGAAGTGTCACCAATAAATGTTATTAAAAAGAGGGTAGAGGAGCGATGATAAGGAAAAGTTAACGAAAGGAAAGGGGAACGGACAAAACAAGATATATCTTAAAAAGACCCGTCGTCGACGTGGGCATATAACAAGCAAGTATCTCTTGTGCCATGTATAATTTCCTAAGCACAATAAAGTCGTGCAAAGCCAAGAAAAAAATGCAGAAAAAAATAGAAATTTCAAAGTATTGAAAAGGATGCGTCAGATAATTATTTTCTATTCGTTCAATATCAATATCCCTTAAGTAAAAAAATAAAGATTGAAACCATCGATTGATATGGCAGTGCACTCAATAATATTCATCGCTTTCCACAAGGATTAGATATATATCGGACGAAATATTGTCTCTCAAAGATACAGGAAATAAAATGGGAGAAGGAAGTGGAGTTACTTTTTAAAATATAGTACAGCAATACTTGTATACATACCACAATGACTGCCAGGGCTGGGACAATGAAAGCAAACAAAACACTGTTGCTGACAGACAACCAGCAGCTGTAACATTAATCATTATCGAATTATATTTTTTCTTTGCCTTCTAGTAAATCAATTCATTCAGTTAATTCTTCTCCAGGTTATATAATCTACTTTTATTTCTTAATTCACATAAGAAAATGAGATTTATTGTTTCTGTTTGATACAAAAAATATACTTTATACCCAATAAGGATAATTAAATATATAAAATAAATATATATAAATAAGTCCGATCCTGCCCCATTTCTGTACGTTCCTGTAAATCGTCGCCCGTTCCTCCCCGATCCATATCAATACAATACTCTTAACTCGTTGTAATTATTTTATCAAATATATCTTATACCCGACACAAAATATATAATAACATACATATAGGTATCATAAGTAATAATGACATGAATGTATATATATATAATTTAGTCCGATTCTGCCCCGATCATGTAATTGCAATCCTTTTATCATATATATCTTATACCCGATAATGATTCTTAAATGTATCTAATATAAATATTCATTAATTCATTAATCGTCGAACCCCCAGAGACGTATATTTTTTTAATTTTTTTTACCTTTGAATGAGTATGTAATGATAGGTTTCGTTTTTAATCTATTGATGCAAAACATGATATGTTTCCTCAAACGATGATTTGTTTCTTTTTGTTAAAAGTATGTGTATACTGTAACGTCACGCTACCACAATTGACATTCTACCCAAATTGGTAACACGGTCAGAAAATGGTTCGAATAGTACTTTAAAATTAAATTTGAGCTTTTTTCCTTTGTCAGTGTTACAAAGGAGATATTTAAAATCGACGTGCGTCGACGAAATTTTGGAGGATTTTGAATAAGCATGTTTAAATGCCGATTTCTGGTCCTTATATATAAAAGTGATATTTTTTGTTGCACATCAACTTGTAGAAAGAAAACAAGTTTTGTAGTCTGTGATACGGTGTACCAATATTGGGTACTAATCACGGCCATAAAACGGACGTAATCTAACTGCGAGTTAAGAGTTCCTAAAAAAATATCGTAGAATTAATATCTTTTTTTTTAAATGAACCACCATAGACAGTCTTTGTCAGGAATCAAGAAACATTCCAGGTACAAGATCTAAAAAATGTATGTCACTGAAAACCCCCATTTGTACTAATCGTGGTAGCGTGTCGTTTGGATATACTTATTACACGTTTAGTGAACCGGTTTGACTTATCTTTCTTCCAGCACAGGTAATATTGGGTCAGCGTAAGTGAAGCTTATCTGTACCGGTCACCGAAGAACGCGATGACCTTGATGGAACGCGGAGGTCGATCCTCCGAGGATTATCGTGACACGATTACGTGACATGAGACGTTAAGGATCGCGGTGATGCGATCATCAAGGTCCCTGATGTGATATATCATCGCGTTTGACCACTTAAACGAAATTCTTGACGCGATGGCTGGGTGAATTAGTTACACTTGCTGTGAAGAGATCTGTATCTTAACCCGAGGGTAAGATTTCGATGTTTATCCCGAAGGTTAACATTTCTCCGTCTGCGTCATACAGGAAAGATTGATTACTTTCCATCGTAAAAAATTACATGCAGTGGTTAACTGCATCATGGTGCATTAAGGGGCGAATGAAATGTGAGGCAAAATCGAAAACGCTGCCATGGTTACACTGCATGAAATGATGACGCGATGATGACGTTTCCAGAATAATGGCGCATGTGAACTATCTCTTCTTAGGTAGATTAAGATAAAATTATCTTTTCCCTAGCAAAATCAGGAATGCACCTTTGAAGTGTGGGAAAATATATCTCAGAAATATATACAGCGTTCTGACTGATTGAAATGTCTTTCGTCGAGTTTTCTATTGTAATAATAAAGATACATATAGACGCTATGGTTACACTGGATCTAACGAAGACCGTAACAATAGGGTTACATTACGGTCATCTTTAAGGTTAATGTTCGATACACATCGAATTTCGTGAAGGAGTTCAAGAACTATACACATGGGTTTCACTTCTTCTGTTTTATGATATCATAACTGAATTTTCAAATGCAGTTTTTGTAAATCTATTCACAATAATCGTACAATACTCACAAGTTTTCATTTCCGTATCCTTCTAACTGGGTGGCTCCAGTAGAAATTCCTACAATAATTGCAGGCACCCCTAAAAACAAATAGTACAGGGAAACAAGTTATCGAATATATTACGCAAAATGTTTCGATATATTGCAATTTTTTGTATAAAATGTAAATAATGTTTTGTAATTTTACAAAGTGTCAATAACTTCATGATTCTTCTTTTTTTGTTTTGTTCTCTACATTCTTAACTGAACTTGCATGTTGAAGTTATCAATTCAAACACAATGGTCATATATATATATACAACATTCAACAAGGTAAATATCTTACCCCATCCGATCGGAAGTAGGTAGCGCAGTTTTGATGAGGATGAGAATACAAATAAAACTGACATGGCAACAGCTATACCTTCTGTTAGCATCAGGAAGAATACGGCCAGAAATATGTAATGTAATGCCACTGCTATCACAGTGCATATTGTCTGAAAATCAACAATACTCGAAATGTCATATATATACATCAGTTATATACTATTTTGATGTTTATTATTTAATGATATGTTTACCGTTTTGTAACTTATAATGCAATTGGAATACAGAGAATCAAAAACATAACAAAAAAAACCGTTTGAAACGGCATCGACTAATCCTCAATGTTGGTTTTTATGTTTAGATTTTTACTATTTATTTTGTCAATGTAAAGAAATACAACCTTTTCATAACAATGTTCATGTCATCAGTAATATTTTATTATATATAATCATCATATGCAGTATTCATTACTATAAAAAATAGTAACTGTCTGTTTGAGCTATATGTATTCTTAAAATAATGGTTAGTTGTCCTCTTCTTTTAAGCCTTAACTATGACGTAACAAATCAATATTCAGTGTTTGATTTGTTTTGTTCAAAATTGCACAAAAACCTCAATTATATGAGAACGAAACGTATTGCGAATAGAACTACATACCTTGTTGGAAGTCTGTTCTACACCAGCCAAGAACAGAATCATTGCAAGTATGAGTGCTATACACATGCTCACTAGAATCGTTGATTTATCCGATTTCACGGATCTGAAATAAATTCATTTGACATTTCCACGGTTAAGAGAGCTTAAAAAACTAAATGTCGTAACAGTCATAAAGACGTATATGCATGTGGATTTTCGTGTCCCTAACATTTAAGCTTAGTTAAATATTGAAACTTTCGTGACAAAGTATGCTCAATAAAAGTGCATTTTGGACAGCAGCACCTCTCAGCACACAGATAGAAAACACGATTCCTTTATAGACATTTCATTCAATTGTCCAAATTATGCATCAGAGGAAATTTGCTTGGACAATATTTGTCCAGGAGGAAGAATGATAACACTTCAGTGCCAAAATTTGAAACCAAGTCTTCAGGGAGTTACTTTCTCCCGTTACATAAAAGTCGACTTTCAAACCCTACAGGACATTTGTTGATATTTGTGCATATGTTTACAATGTCGGGATCTCAATAGTACTATATTACGACCAACGTACTGATCCTTATTGGTCGAGGCAGACTCTTCATTTGTCTTTTCGAGCACAAAAATTGTCGTTATGTTTTTTGGATGGGAATAGCAATCGTTTCAAATTATGACACATTGAGTAAGTCTCCAAATGTGGTGCTGGACTTAGGGACCAATCATGATAGAATTTAGTGTTATAAGTGGAAATCTCATTCGTTTCGATATTATTAAACAAGTTCAAAGTCCCCGAGGAGGGTCACAGCTCACTTTAGACTTTCGGACAAGGACAACTGAAGATGTGATATTTTGTATATGATACTTAGCATATTTCATACGATTATTCAAATATTTATATGACATCTGACATATTTGATTACTTCAGAAGTATTGCTTTTCAAAAGTCGATAAGAACAATTATTGTCTATCCGTATATATTTTGGGGAAGAAAGCAATGTAGTTTCTTTGATAATCATAAAATCTGTATGTAAGAATTTATTATAAATATATTCTTCCAATCTACCTCCAGCAGCATAGATGACAAACCACTGTAACTGCCATCCCAGTTATGGAGATAGCACACCCAATTATGGACATAATCCCTAAGATCTTGTGGTGAGCATTGTTTACCTGGAAAACAAGAAAAGAACGAAACATACAGTCAAATCAAAGCATTTCGTCCGAAGATACATAAGCTTTCTACCAGGACCATTTGCCTATCTTTTTTTACGTTTATGTGGAAGGCGTCTTTGACTTTGTATATGATTTTCCTTAAATCTTTCAGAGTAAAATCTTCTGAAGTGTTTGTATTCGTGTAACGTATATAGATACTATTAATTCACCTCTGAATACCAAGTTTTTCTTATGTCGATGAATATCTTAATTTGATAATTTGCAAATAATTGCAGATTGCTGTTCTTTATCTTTTTATGAAGAGGAGTACAACAAAGTGGGAAAATGCGTAAACATTGTGTAAGGTACACGTGGTAGATACGCACTTTTGTTAAATGTCAGATACATGCATTTGTATAATTGATAGGTATATGTGTTTGAGTGATGGTTAGATACCTATTCTTTAAATGGTGGACAATACATACGTGTGTATAACAGTTAAATATAAACTTCTATGTAAATGTAGCGGATAAACATTTGTATAATTGTCAGATATTAAATGTTAGATACATTCTTCTATGTAAGTGTTATTGATAAACATTTGTAGAAGTGTTAGGTATCCACAATGTACAAATAATCTGTGTGTACAAATAATCTGCGTAAGTGCCAGATTCATGCATTTGTATAATTGATAGGTATAAGTGTTTGAGTGGTGGTTAGATACATATTCTTTAAATGATGGACTATACATACGTGTGTATAACAGTTAAATACAAACTTCTATGTAAATGTAGCGGATACACATTTGTATAATTGTCAGATATTAAATGTTAAATACATTCTTCTATGTAAATGTTATAGATAAACATTTGTAGAAGTGTTAGGTATCTACAATGTACAAATAATCTGTGTGTACAAATAATCTGTGTAAGTGCCAGATACATGCATTTGTATAATTGATAGGTATATGTGTTTGAGTGATGGTTAGATACCTATTCTTTAAATGGTGGACAATACATACGTGTGTATAACAGTTAAATATAAACTTCTATGTAAATGTAGCGGATAAACATTTGTATAATTGTCAGATATTAAATGTTAGATACATTCTTCTATATAAGTGTTATTGATAAACATTTGTAGAAGTGTTAGGTATCTACATTGTACAAATAATCTGTGTAAGTGCCAGACACGGGCATTTGTATAAGTGTTAAGATACGTAAGTTATTTATTATAAGAATTTAATACATACGTTTGTATACGGACTCATCATGATGGCAAAGTTAGTCAGATGATCACATTGACACCTGGTGGTGGTGACGTCAGCGAATACAACGATACAGCCTTTTGAGGACCATTCTCCTCCGTTCCTGTTCACACAATAACATATCATCAACAATATATCTGAAATGCGTTTAAACAACTTGAATAAGTTATCATCAACAAACGAACATCAACCATATGAATTTACCCAATGAATAATAGATTCATAAAAACAAAATAATCAAGAACAAATTCAAATAAGTACATTTATTTAAATACCTATAAAGTATCCCTGTAATACTGCAGTTTATTTTCTTATTACCAATAATTTCTTTTTAATTTCGTTTTGGATATAAATCTAGCTCAAAAATTGTCAATGATACTCCCGTTGACCAGGAATCTCATTCCGTTAAAAAGATGGAATAACACTTTGAAGTCCAGGGTTAGAATCCCGATCAAACACGGCTAAATGTTTATATTCGAAACACTGTTTTTGATTATGCTTCGTTTATTCCATCTTAATTATTTTTCATTCAAGTCGCGCATGGTATCGTTTTTCTGTATTAATTTATTATTAATCTGGTTAACAAAAAATGTCTTATGCTAGTGTGTTGTATGTACATATATATTTTATACTCACGGTAGACTGAAATTCCAAAACACACAAGTTCGTTCACCCACTAATTCCTGAAAGATAATAAATAAATAACATATAATCATGTGAACGGATTTGATTGATTTCACTTTGAATTTTAATCGCTGGTAAGATAATGAAATCATGATGATGATGAGATAAATCTGCAATCATAACCCAATTAGATAAAACTAATGCTAAAATAGCTGACCTGCTTTTGGACCCAAAAGGATCACCAAATCAATTCGGGGTAAAATCAATGAATGATTTATTAAGATAATGAAGTTCGGTGCAACAGTTTCCTATACCCTACCTCATTGTGCAGGTACTGAAGTTCAAGGGGAGGATCCAAATTGGCCTGCGGACCGGATGCCAGTGTCAAGGCCAAAATACCACTTGCTAACCTTTGACCTTCGACTCTGAATAGACAGAAAATTAGGGGTTATATTATACTTATACAACATCTGATAAAATGCTCTATCTAACTAGAATTATCCAATCTAAGACGCTTAACAGTACCAATACATATATATCTCATAGCAACTACCGTATCAAGCGATACTATCAAGACCTTTGCCACCTGGTGTATATCTCCATTTTTGTGAATGCCTGCTTGTCTGCTGAAGATGTATTTTGTTTCTGGGCGGATCCAGGCATGCAACGGCATATACGTGTTATTTGTGCAAACTGGCTCAAATGTAACAGCATAGATACTGTAGCGCTCAGCAAATATCATTTTATACTTAATTGTACACGTGAGTTTTAACCTTTTCACCACCGTAGACCATAATGGACTCATCCCAATAAATGCATGGTATAGTCCATTAAAGTTACCTAGGGTTGAAAGGGTTAAGGGCAGGAACAAAGTATAGATTATATCGTGTTTCCAAAATAGGCAATTTATCATGTCACATGCAATTAAAATATTAAAATCGTGGAACTTTCCCAATTTATATCAACACGTATATGTACACTATACCTACGTGCATATATGCATCATATCGCATTGCTTTTGGGGATAACGCGAATTGTTCACCTATTGTTTTTTGCCTCAGACGGCGATACGTAAATAAATGAAATGCAAGAAACATGAAATCCAAGATAATATGAACCTGAACTTTTTGAGTTTTGTTTTAATTAGATAATTTGCTTTTAGGCCTTTTGCAAGTCTAAATGAATATGAACAAATACTTACAGGCCAGTCTCCTGCACATCAACACGTATGAAATCTGACAACGTCTTGTAGTACGTTGCTACGTAGTCCACAGTTTCCCTTTCTGATAAACCCAAATAGCCTTATTAAAATGTATACTCAATTATTGTCGACTGAATTAAGCATTACTTGCTTATCACTGGAATAACAATAATTAATTTGCATTTGAAAAACAACAACCTGTAATGTTATTGATATTTTGTTTGACATTTCACAGAAAAATAAAAAAATGTTTTACAGTTTGAGAAAAAATGTCAGTTTTTAACAGTTAGTATACATTAACGTTTTCAGGATTATATATATCATCTTGTGCAATAAATCCTTGCATGTTAGTGATTGTAAACCATATCCTAAACATCTGGCGTGTTACAAATTCCTTACCATTTAACTGGTTATTTGTTATGGTTTCCTGTCGCATCACTAGTGACGCACCAAAATCATCCTGCAATGTACTGGTGGTGGAAATGAACGGGAAATAAATATTTCCCGGAGGAGACTTCCTAAATTCCACAACTGAAACAAAACATGTATAGTTGCCATTATATTTGGCCAAAAATTCCAGTACTATCAAACAGTCTTAAACTTAAAGATATATACTACGCTGTGAATTATGCATATGCTATGTATTCAAATTGTTTACGGTAAAACTTTCAACACATATACATAATGATAATAACCTAGGTGAAATAAATATACGCATCTCTGCGTATTATCCTACCAGGTACCAACTACAATCCATGAGGGATATGTTACATGTGTATTATTATGATTTTCCTCAGAAAAGAAAATGTTTGTGAAGTAAAAAAAGAGTACATCATACTTAAAAGTCTCACAGTTAATTAGTGTTTATCCTAAAAAACACTTTCCAATTGTAAATGAAAAAAGAAAACTTTGCAACCGGTATTTAAATAAGAAGAAGAAAAGGAATTCGATTTACCAACATGTTAACTCGCACTTAGGAAATACAATGTCCGTTTTAACTTATTTTGTTAAAGTTAATTCGAAGTGAGAAAATGGCTATTCTGACTAAATATATTTTAACATTAACATATTTCTCTTGAAATTTTTTTGTAAATTCAATCTTTTATATTTTTTTCTGAATTGAAATTTTGCTCCCTACGAATTCAGAGATATAACACATCTTCCCTACACACTGCGTTATAGGAAACTTACTTATGTTATTTTTCCTCACACTTCGCAGGTCATCTGTGGTTAACGACTTAACCACTGACTTCCCAAATGTACTGACCGCTTCCATGACCGATGCCGCTGGTACTACGTTATTCTATGCATGCGTAAAGTAAAATATATTTTGTTTAAAAAAGACGAAAACTAAACCACAGCATCAGCACACAAGATCATCCGTTTACAGCGACACATGTATCGGCCCCTGTCATATATCTCTTGTCAAGTCCATGTAGGTCAACAAAGATTTAAGTTAAATTTCGAAAGCAAAAAAATCAATATTAATACAGCAGTTTAACAGATATTTTAAAGATAAGAAAACAGCACATGCGTTAGCAATATGATAAAAAAAACAGGCTATGCCTGTATTTGTCTTCTTTTAAACATACGGTATTTTCCACTTATGATTGGTTTATTGTATTAAGTAAATGCTTATAGGACTAGAGAAATACAGCTGGGTTTAAACATCAGTTGGTATTGAGATAACGTTTATGAACTGCTTTAATATGTCTCAAGACCCATCGAGGTTTATATCCCATTTACCTCTAAAGAACATGATTGAATCTTTGTATTTATAATCACTATGAGTCTGTTATAATTTCTAAAATTAAAGAAATGTTGATGTCTCATATCAACGAAGGTGCCGACGGATGTGACGTCATCACTCATTTCAAACCATCGTCCTGGTAACAAAAATAACTGTTTTGTATTGACGACTTCATTAAAACAATATTACTTATAATACATGTTTATTTCAATCACAAAAGTCTGGAAAAAGTAATGAAAACATAACTTTAGTGGACTTCCCCTCGCATTAATTTCCTAACTGAATCATACACTTTAATAGAACTGAAATGTGAATATATATATATATATATATATATATATAACCTTTGACCTCGGTGTATACAACTAGTAAAATATCTAAAGTAATGATGTTATGAACGAGACATACTTGTCAATACTTGTTAAAGCAAAGAGTAGTGCGAACGGCAATGTCACAGAATGCTATCTTTCTAAAGAAACAAAACAAAAACGTATTTCCTGTAGTGAAAAAAATATCTAAGTTTGCTAACAGAATAAAAGTATTTAAAAACCAAATGCAGATTATCGTTTTGATACTAAAGATTGTATCACATTTCGTATAAGTAGAGCAGATGTGTAATACATACCCCAGTTTGCAAAGAAGCCCATTTGTCACTTGAGTCCGCATTCAACAGATAGTCAACAGTTGAAACGAAATCCTAAAAAAGAATATATACATAACTTTGCAAAATGGTCTTCTCAGATTAAATTTATATTGCAGTGAGGTGTTCCATAGAAACCACCGGAGACAAAAGTGGTTCTAGAAAAACATGAATGTTTAATTGTTTCAAACTTTCCCAAACAATATATACAACATGTAGTGTAAACAATTTATACAACATGCAGTGTAAACAATATATACAACATGAAGGGTAAATAATATATACAACATGTAGTGTAAACAATATATACAACATGTAGTGTAAACAATATATACAACATGAAGTGTAAACAATATATACAACATGTAGTGTAAACAATATATACAACATGAAGTGTAAACAATATATACAACATGTAGTGTAAACAATATATACAACATGAAGTGTAAACAATATATACAACATGTAGTGTAAACAATATATACAACATGAAGTGTAAACAATATATACAACATGAAGTGTAAACAATATATACAACATGTAGTGTAAACAATATATACAACATGAAGTGTAAACAATATATACAACATGTAGTGTAAACAATATATACAACATGTAGTGTAAACAATATATACAACATGAAGTGTAAACAATATATACAACATGTAGTGTAAACAATATATACAACATGAAGTGTAAACAATATATACAACATGTAGTGTAAACAATATATACATGTAAACACGCATGTTGTTACAAGTCGATTTCATATGTGATATGTACATATTTGTTTGTTATCTGTGATACTATATTTAAATATAGTCACACTGTATGTGTTAATTGTGCTATTTTCCGACAGCTGTTCACAGTATTTTATGTCACCAGTCAAATGATCGAACAATGCGATGTACTTGTAATATACCGAAATTAAGGAAAAGGTGCCTCTGTTGCAGGTTTTATCGTGAAGCTTTGTTGCCCAAAAATTGGACAATCCTTTTGAAGCTGTGTTCTCATAGTTCCTGTATGGCGACATTGGCTATATGTAAGATTTGTAAAGTAAACGAATCCTAGTTCCACTCCTGCATTTTTCTTGATTTCTATTTCTATTTTTATTCACAAACACACTTATCTCAAACAACTATAGTTCTGTCAAATGCATGGCATTATGTAATAATTCTTTTGACAAGGCCTTAAACAAAACGTTTACAAGAGTGACATATTGGTTAGGATAACGTTTATTTTGTTAGAACCCTTTACCTTAATGAAATAATGTGTTTTTTTGTTTCAATGTTTACAAAATCGAGGCAAACTAAGTCTAGAAAAAATGGTATCATAAAAGTTTATTCATGTTCCTATATATCCATGTATAAATTTTGTGAAAAAGACAAGGTGCCGTTCTTTCTGAATCTTGTATCTGGAAACATATTCTAGTTCCAAGCATATTGATGTAAATGAAACCAAGTTTTAATGATTTTCAAATTGATACATGTTACATAATTAAATTCTATATTCGAAATATCGTTCATCGTTTTTTATCTCTATTATTTCATTTTCGGCTAATTTCAGATAAACATACCTCTGTTTCAGTGGTACTGATGTTGGCCTGCTGTTTCTCTGAAATGTTGGCAATTCTGGATATGATGTCTACGCACGAGCCCAGGTCACCGACTGTAAGCTGATCGTCCGTAACTATGGATTCAGTTGCATTGGCCATTTCTTGGAGAAGATCCGCCAGAGAGATTACAGCCAAACCGGACTGTATCCGGTCAACCTGTAAGTAAATAATGTGAACTTGCAATATTCCAAGTTGCATATTCTCACAACCTAGAGTCTTATTTACCCTTTGAACTAGCTGAAGGGTCAAGGTCGAACACTAGCGCAGCTCACCTGACTGACTTGGCTATTTCCGTACAGTAGTTACGGACATTGCCATGGAATTTTACCTAAAGAGGTGCTATCGGACTTACACACGAATGTAAGTAAAACAAAATCCCTGGACAGCAATGCCAGATCAAACACGGGGATTAAAGCAAATTTATCTAGTTACATTTATACAGAGCAAATACAGTCGAGGTGTATTTTTGTAACGTCCTGTTTCTAGGATATGTATGGTGTATACGGTACTTACCTGATTTGATATGTTCTGTAGCTGTTCTTTGACGCATCGGGAGTAATCTGGTCTTCCCCACTTCCCAACGTATCCATCTCGGACACATACTCTTAAAAGAACACCTGTGGAATAAAAATAAGTAAATATTGTGCGTCTAAGAGAGCATTTCCTTTTCTCTATTGGGACTCATAAACCTAAAAAACCTGAAATTATAATAACGCCAACTTTGACTTTTCATTGACTTCCATAGTCAAGATTTGTCATGAGTATCTATGCGAAGAATGATGCTTGGTTTAACAGCCTGGTAATAAGTTAGCAAACAATCAAGATAGAAGATGTAAATGAGGTAAACTTCCCACTAAAAAAAAAGTTAATCAAAGTTCAGGCAAATCAACCGATATCTGCTCGGCGACCGATATCACAATAATATCCTACCAGGTACCAACTACAATCCATGAGGGATATGTTACATGTGTATTATTATGATTTTCCTAAGAAAAGAAAATGTTTGTGAAGTAAAAAAAGAGTACATCATTCTTAAAAGTCTCACAGTTAATTAGTGTTTATCCTAAAAAACACTTTCCAATTGTAAATGAAAAAAGAAATCTTTGCAATCGGTATTTAAATAAGAAGAAGAAAAGGAATTCGATTTACCAACATGTTAACTCGCACTTAGGAAATACAATGTCCGTTTTAACTTATTTTGTTAAAGTTAATTCGAAGTGAGAAAATGGCTATTCTGACTAAATATATTTTGACTTTTCATTGACTTCTATAGTCAAGATTTGTCATGAGTATCTATGCGAAGAATGATGCTTGGTTTAACAGCCTGGTAATAAGTTAGCAAACAATCAAGATAGAAGATGTAAATGAGGTAAACTTCCCACTAAAAAAAAAGTTAATCAAAGTTCAGGCAAATCAACCGATATCTGCTCGGCGACCGATATCACAATAGATTATTTCCGACTATTTTAATGTTGAATAATACTTATGCGGAAGATACTCAATTGAATTTTTAACTTACCCTTATACCCGGAGGGACATGAACTGTATGCAGTTTCATCGGGGAAAGTTTGGTTCCATATGATTCCGCTGGAATCCTTATTTTTCACGCATGGTCGGTCAGCTAGAAAGCCAAAGCATGTTTCAAGGGTCAAGAAAAAAATGATAGTATGTTATTCATTACTTAGGAATGCATTTTACTGATTGGCGGCCGGATATCGTGATCATATTGTCACAAATTGAGTTTATTGGACGTCGCCAATAAACTCAATTTGGTCCACTAATCTCAAACTTGCCACACAAGGAAATGAAAACGAAAAAACCCCATTAAATATACAACATTGGTGCTCACACTCTATAATCAATAGTCAATAATAACAATTTTTTATTTTACAGTTACTAGTTATACATTAATTATTTTGCCAAACGAAATTTAAGTTAATTGGTTAGAAAGAAGAGTTTTCTCAATATCTTTTGATGTAGATCGAGGCGTTAGAAAATAACAAAAGACTGACTGCCATGACTACCCAATGACATTGTATGGCCTGTTGAATTTTCCATGAGTTTATCGATAAGAATACCTGTCAATCAATCAGTCAATTAATCAATTATTAAAATAAGCATCTATTTACCTGGTCTGTAGACAAACAGTGTCATGTCAATGTGACAATGTGTTTGACCATTGGCCCCAGCTAGCCCACAACCGTAAGTAGTGACAAAGTCTTGGGTGTAATCGATCGTCAATATATGCGTTCTATTATCACTTGATGATGGAAGGGTAACATCTGGAAATAAAGTTTACATTCGTAATTTGTTATATTAATGCCAACTAATTGTAAATGTCTCTAGTGAAATATCTATTTCGTAATTATTTCATTTACGGATTTATAGCATTAAAATGAGTGAAGTCATCCCGAGAGGAATAAGAAAATGTAAAGCAATATATTTAGGCTCTTTTCTCAGAGACGCAATGCCAGTAGTCAAATGCGCGTCCACAAGAAACAAAGGTTCATACGTTGTAAAACTCAACCGAACTGGAAATTTACATAATAAGGTTCAGGGTACCACTGCATTTGCATTAAACGCAAGAAGAGTTCAACTTACAGGTTGTTTTTACTTTGTATATAATCTCCCTCTTTATAGGATATGAAGCAACCTAAAGTGGTTTCTCTTGCTAAGAGTAACCTTCCCTGTCACGTTTTTCATATGCTTTGTTGCCCACACATTGGACACTCGTTTTGATGCTTTACTGTACTCGTGTCATTTCTTAGACTTGCAATGTAAAGTTTCTAAGTTTTACGTTTACAAATGTTTAACCTTTTTTCTAGTTTCTGTAATTTTCGAACATCCAAAAATCCATCAAATGCTTAGCAACATGTGGTTTTCATGAAATATATTTCTTTTAAAAACTTAAATGAATAGTTTATTAAAAGACATCGATAATAATATAGTTTCATTTGTTGGTGCCCTTTATTTGAATTAAACAGTCTTTCAATCACAAAACAAGTGCTTTAAACACAAATATGAACTTTACAAACAATCTATTGCATATTCAGGATATTTGCATTTTCAATCACTATTTTTCCTTCTTTTAAATATAACGCCATTTACACATATGTCTTTTGCGATGTCAGAATAATGAATTACGTAAGTTGTCATAAAAGGAATTGATAATGTAACATTTCACTTAGTTGACAATATACAAAGCAGGTGGCTCGGTGACCCAGGCACCGCCGTCCTACGCCAAGAAAACGTCAAGCAAGCAAACCTAAAGATAACGGCAATTCAATGCCATTCTTGCACCACGTGATAGCCGGTAGACTTCCATTAATGTTTGTGCCCATGATAGTACAGGTAATGTTGACGGGTTTTCCTTGCTCCACAGAAACGTAGCGAGGCCATATATCAACGTCAAACACTTCCAGTGTTGCCGAGGAATTTGCCTGTCGTGCTCCAACATTTACAAAACATTCGGCGATACCTGTGACAAAAGAAAGCTGAGTTACAGTCACATTCTTCTAAATTGAAGCATCACCTCTACTAGAACGCCCGTATAAAATATATAAATGAATAAACGAATTTTGCAATGCTAAAACTTGAGAAGACATTAGTAGCAGAATGGCAAACAATGTACTTTCATAGTTGTAGTCACAATATTGATCAAGATAAACGTAAAACACACATATTATTGCACCTAGACAATTTGGTCATGTGTTCTGTATGCCAAAACATTACACTGCACCATATAGCTGTTTCGAAATACATCAACCTGAATCCTGAAAGATGATTGGGTTGAATGACAGTATATTGGTGAATCTGGCTGGATTTTCCGGGTAGGATTTCATTTCCGTCTGCACGCGGGAATTGACCAGAGGGTATACGTCAATACCATTCAGCTTCCATTTTACATCCAACCTCATTGGCAAGGCAACAGCCTCTATTTCGCACAGTACTTCTGCGGCACTGCCACTTAGTACTGTTTGTTGTGGGCCGTTGACTGTCACACTGCTGATATATCCAACTGTCAACAAACAGTACTTATTAATTGCTAAAACGTAGGTTTTGATATTCAAATTCCCTAGTTCGATGATTTGTTTTATTTTTTGTTTTATGTTTTATTTCTATTTTCAAACATTCCAACTTAGAAGAACTATGATTCTGTAAAATAGATGGCAACATGTGATTATTATGGAATACTTCTTTTAAAAACCTCTTAAACAAATATTCCCCAACAGTGACGATGGTTATACTATATATATTACATCGTAACGTGCTGGTTCCCTTTACCTTAAACAGTATTACTAAAATAACAAAGTATAAGTTGTGAATTTCAATAAACAGGTGATAGATCGACGTTCTTGACATGTGAGCATCTTAGTGACTTTTTTGTTTTGTTATTGGGCCAAACCCCTCTGCACACCCTCCATTTATACAAAATTGAGTCCACTTTGACCAAGGATACACCACACAAAAACTGTTTAAAATCTCTCAAATGATACTAAAGGGTTGGGATTTTAATCAATGTTTACTACATTCCCCTATTGGGCCTCGCCCCTCTACCCCTGTGGGGAGAAGGGGGGCACACTCTCCCTTAAAAATGGGTCCCCCTTGCCCAAATATGCTCTAGACCAAATTTGGATAAAATCACTACAAAAGGTCCAATTTAATCTCACAACTTTTATTCCTTCGCGTCGTTATAAAAGCTCTACAGAGCTTATGTTTCTTTGATGACAATTGTACACGACGTTAAATAAAGATTATTTTTATTATTATGATATTATTAAATATCAATATTTATGACTATATGTCATTCAAAAGAACCGGTTAAAAGATTTAAAACATTTGACCCCTGTGACCTTGAAAGCCGAACTTGTAAGGTCGTTTCGTTGAACAAACTTTATAGCCCTTCATCTAAGCATGCAACTTGCCAAATACCACAAACCCAGACATTTTGTTAATTGAGATTAGGTTATTTAACGATTGATACATTTTTGACCGAATGTGACCTTTGAAATGGGTCGAAATGTTGAAGAAATAAGAATAAAAAGAATAAAAACTAGAATTGCAATTGCGAGCAATAGCGGAAGTCACCCCTCCCCTACTAAGTACGCAGCCATGATGTTTTTTCCCACAAAATGAACACCGCAGTTGTGTTTGTAGTGCCATACTACGCACACATACCTAATTTCATCAAAATTAGACGATATTTTAATTTCGACCAATCAGAAGCCTGCATTTGGCCGCCATTTTGAATCCAAAGTCAAGAAGTTTTTGTCGAAAACTAGCGCTGTGACGTTATCATCCCTTTCACTGAGTTTCATTATGTTCCATCTCTAAGAACGAATGCTATTACTGGATATGATTTAGGCCAAATAGAGGCAGCGGCGGCCATCTTGGATGGTTGACCCAGAAAAACAACACATCAAACTAATTATGTATGCAAAGTTTGATAAGAATCCAATAAGTAGTTCCTGAGATTAAGCACGGAAGCGGAATAATAATAAGAATAATAAGAATAAGTAAGAAACGGAACAATAACAATAAGTCTCCCCGACTTCGTCTGGGGTCACTTAACTATAAGAAACGGAGCAAAAACAATATGTCCCCAAACTTGGTTTGGGGGACATAATAAGTTATCAGAAGTGGGACAGTATGAACCACAAGTCCTTATCCTAATAGCACATGTGTATCCGAATCTTCATTTTAAGTAATTGAATATATTGCTATTGGTTAGGGATCTTAATAGTTTAAAATTTAGTGACCAATGCACTAAGTTCCATAAAATGGGACCAAACCCAAGGACAAATTCTGATGGCCAGAGGGTGGGGATCTAAATTATTTCAATGTAATGACCCAGAGACTAAGTCTCCAGGGGTGGTGCCGAAACGTAGGTCCAATCAAGCAAATGTGTATTCATCCCTACAAACTCAGCGAGTGTTTATCTGGTTATAGGGTGGGTATCTCAACTCTTTTCAAAGATAAGGCACAGGGACCAATTTCTACTGGATGAGGCAGACCCTTTAGCAAATCTTGGTCGGATATTTGTATACATTTCCTTAACCTTAGTGACTGTACATGGCTATTTTGTTGGGATCTGAACTATTTCCACGTTATGACCCGAGGACTAACTCCACCAGGGCAGGGAGGACCAATCGGCCAATCTTGGTAGGCTACATGTATCTGTTTTATCGTGTCTAGTAATTTTGTATTTGGTTGTAAAACCTCTGTTTAGCCCCATCAGCAATTGCTTCCTCTCTTGATTCTAGCATATCTATGTCAAAACAAGAAGATTGATGTTTTTTTTTTAGCCAATTTGATTCCTACTAGCACTGCTCATCATGCCGCTTTGTTTAGTCATAACCTACATGATGGGAACCAATTAATTCAAAGTTTTAAATGGTCTTTTGCCATTGAATCTTCTAGCAAAATTTTATTGAAATTGGCTTAGTGAATTTTGAGAAGTTGAAATTGTGAACTCACGACGATGGACAAAAGGCAATCACAATAGGTCACACGAGTTTTTGTATAAATACAATGATATTAAATTTATGAAGCATTGTCATAAAGTTTACCAAATGGATATGTTTAAAGAAAGATACATAATTAATGTTTGAAGAAAACTAAAATCAAACTGTTACTTTTAAATTAATCATGCATTATATTGAAAAGTGATTTCAATATTAAATGGAAGCAAGAGCACTGTGAAAGAGGAACATGATATACCAGTCATACATTGAATGAGCAGTTGTCTGTATGGTTGTACATAAAGGGCCATAACTCCATAAATTACGGTTGGACAATGATGGTTATCGAGCGATTATTGCAATGAACTTCCCTGTGTAGTTCGAAGTTTATCCGTTGAAAACTACTTTAGATATCGAGCGTAGCCTGTTTTGGCAATTGAATGAAGGGTCATAACTCGGTAAATTACAATTCGATAATTAGGGTTATCAAACCTGTCTGAGCTATAACGTTAATGAAACGTCCTATGAAGTTTGAAGTGTATCCATTTAAAACTACTCGAGATATCGTGCGGACACTGTTTCGGCTAATTAATAAAGGGCCATAAGTCTGTAAATAACAGTTTGATAATTGCGGCTCTCAAACTGTCCGAGCTATCATTGCAATAAAACTTCCTACGAAGTTTTAAGTTAATCCATTGAAACTACTCGAGATATCGACTGGACACCGATTGCGCCGCCCACCAACCAACGATATATCGACTGGACACCGATTGCGCCGCCCACCCACCCACGTGATACAGTAACATGATTCGTCCCGTCATCCGATGGGCGTATAAAAAGAAGAGACTTTTTTTAAAGACTTAAAAGCATTTTTATGTCTATTTTACTGAGTTGTTTATTTTCTCATGTATATAACTTTTTCAGTTCTATCTTTGATATTACTATTAAGTCTGTTTATAAAAAAAATCATGCAACTTTGGAAACTAAGAAAGCATGCAGGATCTTGTGATGACAAAGCACATTGTTTTTAATGTTTGTAAAAGCCTTAGCAAGATTTAAATTATCAAGTCAAACGTACACCGAATAGAATGGTGCTCACCATTGGAAATCACAACAAGAGTACCGCGGGGTGGAACAATATACGCCCGTCGAATGTCATAAAGTGTTATATAAGTTCTTACATTGAAATAAGGTCTGCATCATTCTAAGAATGGTTAGCTGACATGCTATAAAAATGGAGGAGAAAATCTCCGGACAAAAAATTAAATGATATGAATAAAGGGCAATTCCTTTGTAAAAATCATCTAATCGAAATTCTTTTAAGGGAGACACAAAGTCATATCATGATTATAATGTATACCAAGTTTCAAAGTGTAGGAGGAGATCGCCGAATAAACAATTGTTTACGACGGACGGACGACGCCGTACCATAATACTCTCGTCAAATTTGACGGGCGTATAAAAATCATGTGATTGACTGGGATAACTCTAAAGTTTTGGACAGGGAAAGCAATCTGTTCAAGCGGTAGATAATTAAAGGAAGCCATCTGGATACGCCACAGTGGGCCAGTTCTAAAAAGAGACGAGGGAGCTCAAAGACTCTTGCACATCTATGACCAATTATTAAACAAAAGACTCTCGCATACTATGACCAAGTATTAAACAAAGCGTAAAACCTATTGTACATACGCTTACAGCGTAGACAAAATCTACACCGATTTTGTGGACAACTCGTTCACAATTTTCACCTTTGTATGCATACGCTTCACTGGTCATTTGTCTGATGAAGGTGCCAGTGTACATATCATACTAGTCATCGGAATGTCACATAGAACATATTTTTGGTTGTGTAAAAAGAACTTTTCATAATCCATACTTACCAGCCTGAAGAAAATGTTTAAAAAATCCCACGAATTCCTTGACAGCCCTGCTTCATGTCAAAGACAAAACCAATCAAATAATCACACTGGCTCTACTATGGAAACTACATGCATGAATTTCATTTATATAAAGCAACACCTCATTTATTTATCATAATCTAAACACAATGAACAACAATTTGACTTACTTCCAGTAACTGTCAGTGTTGTGCTACTTTGTCCAGTTCCTACCGAGTTGACAGCAAAGCAGGTGTATGTTCCAGCGTCTCCAATTTCGGAGACTATAATTGTTAGGGAAGGAGCATTGACTTGGGAACCAGAGTAGTTGACGCCATCTATGGTGATGGCCTGGGAGCCCGATCCAACATCACGCTGCCAGGACACATTGGTGTGGGTGGGATTGGCAGACACGGTACAAGTAAGGGTGATGGAGCTGCCTGCAGTAACACTGTAGCTTGACTGTCCAACAGTGACAGTAGGGACGTCTGAAACGAAGTCACATTGCATTGTCACAAATGGGATACAACTCTCACCGGCTAATAATAGGGATAGTTGGAAACTCAAACAAAGTCACACTACATAGTGACAAAAAGAAAAGTAAAATAAAAGGCACAGAGGGCCTGTATTCTTCATCTCGCTATTTAAGCACTCGGCCAACATATTGTCTTTAAAGCAGTATTGCAAATACTTCCCTTTTTTGGGATCTGTCTCTCAGCCCTGGCTGTATGTGTACATTTCAATTTAATGACCAACAACTAAATCCCCAGACGCAGGGCCAGATCAATGGCTAATCATAGTAGAGTACATCAATGTCATAATATTTTATGCATCGTAATATTCAGCATGACTATTATTTCCACCTATGTACATTATTTTAAATTTTAATGAAAAATATGTGCATTTTGATGCTTATCACTGTCATTTGCAACCTGTCATGGTTAGCTTCATTTAAGATGCCTCTTAAGTGATATATGTGCAAAATACATGCTGTGATGTTATATAATAAAATAAGAGGACCAATGGGCCTGAATCGCTCACCTAGTATTAATCTCACACTTGTGATCTTAAAAGTGGACTAAAATACAGCTACAGGCAGAATATCAGTGTTTGATTCATAAGAACCTATAAAAAGATTCAAACATATGATGCCTGTGGCCTTGAATGTCGAACAAGGACATTAGGTTGAACAGAGATTATAGTCTTCCAACTAAGCATGCTTCGGGCAAAATATCATTACCCTGGACCTTTTGGTTATACATAACAAGTCATTTAAAGATTTAAACATATATTGACCACTGTGACATTGAATATGGGCGAAGGTCATTCATTTGGACAAACTTGTTAGTCCTTTATCCTAGCATGCTACTGGCCAAATACTATTACCCTGGACGTTTTGCTTATCAAGAAAAAGAAAACTGTTCTGTTAGGCAGGATGTATATAACTAATTATCTTGTGAACATTAGAAGCTAAGAACGTTTCCACAATGATTATTTTAAGAAGATTCAATTATGTTTTTTTGAATTATATTTCTGATCTCTATCATTGTTGGATAACATGCATCACAATTCAATTTTTTCGGGTGGGACACCTTATTGAAAGGGAACCGGAAAAAATGTATGATCAAAATGCTGTGATGGTGACTGTTTTACGCGTGCAGAAAAGGGAGCGGGTTTGTTTACATTTATGACTTGACATATCACTCGACATGTGTATACCTTTTTTAAGCAATTGGACACACGTCGGAACAAATGAATGTATTATGAGAGATTAATAATAGAAATCATTATCATTTTAATTTATTTGTCGAAAGCAACCTCCACCTGTCGATAATTGCCCCTGTCATTAATGCCACAAAAACAATGAATTCTCCCGCGAATCGTCAGATGTACGCTTATTGCAGATGATGAAATAGAGTACGTTTCCCGACTTCTCCGAAATGCCATCATATAATAACTTACTCAAAACAGTAAAAAACACGTTTGAGGCTTAGACTGTCGATAACTGCCTCCATTGCTCTACTAATTGTAATAGAGGACCATTACAGATGTCCCCCAAACTGCCCCCATAGTCGCAAAGATGAATCAGAAAAGGATAAAATTGCCATAGTACATCTACAATGCAACCAATCAGAATCCTCTGTGTGGTTACTATGGAAACGAAACGTTTGCGATTAAATTTCCAGTCCCCTAATACGCCTATATACCAATTTTCATCGAAATCCAATAATATCTAACTTGCGACCAATCAGAAGCCTCCATGTGGTTGCTATGGTAACGAAAAGTATGCAGTTTTATTCGCAGTCCCATAATACCCCTATATAGCAATTTTTATAAAAATTAAAAAAAATAAATAAATTTCGACCAATCTGAAATCTCAATATGTCGTTGCTATGAAAACGAAACCTATGCGGTTGACTTCGCAGTCTCCTAATATCCCTATGTACCAATTTTCATCAAAATCAAACAATATCTAAATTTCGACCAATCAGAAGCCTCCGTGTTGTTGCTATGGTAATGAAACTGGTGCTTTTTTATTCGTGGTCCCCTAATTCCCCTATATATTAATTTTCATCAAAATCGAAAAATATATAAATTTCCACCAATCAGAAGCCTCCATGTGGTTGTTAGGGCAACGAAACCTATTCGGTTGAATTCGCAGTCCCCTTATACCCCTATATACCAATTTTTATCAAAATCGAACACCGATTGCGCCGCCCATCAAAATTGGACGATATTAAAATTTCGACCAATCAGAAGCCTGCATTTGGCCGCCATTTTGAATTACATTACGAAACTGAGGTCACGAAAGTGACCGGTGTCCCATTTATATACCTACATACCAAATTTTATGAAAATCAGACAATATTTAAATTTTGACCAATCAGAGGCCAGGAAATGGCAGCCATTTTGTTTGTCTCATAACGAACACCACAGGTGTGTTGTTAGTGTCATACCTCACCTATATACCGAATTTCATCAAAATTGGACGATATTAAAATTTCGACGAATCAGAAGTCTGCATTTGGCCGCCATTTTGAATCCAAAGTCAATGAGTTTTTTTGTCGAAAACGGGCGTTATAATCCCTGTCATCAAGTTTCATTATGTTTCATCACAAAGAATGAATGTTATTACTGGTTATGGTTTCGGCCAATCAGAGGCAGCGGTGGCCATCTTGGATGGTTGACCAGGATAAAAGAGTAAGATGCACAAGTACATGTACACATCAAACTAATTATGTATGCAAAGTTTTTTTTATAAGAATCCCATTAGAAGTTCCTGAAATTAAGCGCAGAAGCGGAATAATAATAATAATAATAACAAGAAGAAGAAGAAGAAGAAGAAGAAGAAGAAGAAGAAGAAGAAGAAGAAGAAGTAAGGAAACGGAACGGAGCAAAAACAATATGTCCCGAAATTTTGTTAGGGGGACATACTAAGTTATCAGGAGTGAGACAGCATGAACCACATGTCCTTGTCCTAATAGCACATGTGTATTCGAATCCTCATTTTAAGTAATTGAATATATTGCTATTGGTTAGGGATCTCAACAGTTTAACATTTAGTGACCAATGCACTAAGTTCCATAAAATGGGACCAAACCCAAGGACACATTCTGATGGCCAGAGGGTGGGGATCTAAAGTATTTCAATGTAATGACCCAGGGACTAAGTCTCCAGGGGTGGTGCCGAAACGTAGGTCCAATCAAGCAAATGTGTATTCATCCCTACAAACTCAGCGAGTGTTTATCCGCTTATAGTGTTGGGATCTCAACTCTTTTCAAAGATAAGGCACAGGGACCAATTTCTACTGGATGAGGCAGACCCTTTAGCAAATCTTGGTCGGATATTTGTATACATTTCCTTAACCTTAGTGACTGTACATGGCTATTTTGTTGGGATCTGAACTATTTCCACGTTATGACCCGAGGACTAACTCCACCAGGGCAGGGAGGACCAATCGGCCAATCTTGGTAGGCTACATGTATCTGTTTTATCGTGTCTAGTAATTATGTATTTGGTTGTAAAACCTCTGTTTGGCTCCACCAGCAATTACTTCCTCTCTTGATTCTAGCATATCTATGTCAAAACAAGAAGATTGATGTTTTTTTTAGCCAATTTGACTCCTACTAGCACTGCTCATCATGCCGTTTTGTTTAGTCATAACCTACATGATGGGAACCAATTAATTCAATGTTTTAGATGGTCTTTTGTCAAAGAATCTTCTAGCAATATTTTACTGAAATTGGTTCAGTGAAATCTGAGAAGTTGAAATTGTGAACTCACGACGATGGACAAAAGGCAATCACAATAGGTTACACGAGGTTTTGTATAGATACAATGATATTACATTTATGAAGCATTGTCATAAAGTGTACCAAATGGATATGTTTAAAGAAAGATACATAATTGATGTTTAAAGAGAACTAAAATCAAACTGTTACTTCTAAATGAATCATGCATTATATTGAAAAGTGTTTTCAATATTAAATGGAATCAAGAGCACTGTGAAAGAGGAACATAATATACCATACATTGAATGAGCAGTTGTCTGTATGGTTGTACATAAAGGGCCATAATTCCCTAAAATACGGTTGGACAATGATGGTTATCGAACGATTATTGCAATCAACTTTCTCTATGAAGTTCGAAGTTTATCCGTTGAAAACTACTTTAGATATCGAGCGGAGCCTGTTTTGGCAATTGAATAAAGGGTCATAATTCCGTAAATTACAATTCGATAATTAGGGTTATCAAACCTGTCTGAGCTATTACGGTAATGAAACGTCCGATGAAGTTTGAAGTTTATCCATTTAAAACTACTCGAGATATCGTGCGGACACTGTTTCGGCCAATTAATAAAGGGCCATAAGTCTGTAAATACCACTTTGATAATTGCGGCTTTCAAACTTGTCCGAGCTATCATTGCAGTTTCAATGGATTAACTTAAAACTTCGTAGGAAGTTTTAAGTTAATCCATTGAAACTACTCGAGTTATCGACTGGACACCGATTGCGACGCCCACCCTACCACGTGATACATGTAACATAATTCGTCCCGTCATCCGATGGGCGTATAAAGAGAAGGGACTTTTTTTAAAGATTTAAAAGCATTTTTTATGTCTATTTTACTGAATTGTTTATTTTCTTCTGTATATAAGTAATATTTTCTGCATTGGATGTAACATTTCATGTTCACATGCTACGTATCTATAAGATATTTACAGATGGATTGTTAACTTTTTCAGTTCTATCTTTAATGTTACTATTAAGTCTGTTTATAAAAAAAAATCATGCAACTTTGGAAACTAAGAAAACATGCAAAATCTTGTGATTACAAAGCACATTGTTTAATGTTTGTAAAAGCTGTTACAACATTTAAATTATCAAGTCAAATGTACTCCTAATAGAACTGGTGGACACCATTGAAAATCACAACAAGAGTACCGAGGGGCGGAACAATATACGCCCGTCAAATGTCATTTAGTTTTACATACGTTATTACATTGAAATAAGATCTGCATCATTCTAAGAGTGGTTAGCTGACATGCTATAAAAATGTAGAAGAAAATCTCCGGACAAAAAATTAAATGCTGAAATCAATAAAGGGCAATACCTTTGTAAATATCGTCGAATCGAAATTCTTTTAAGGGAGACACAACTTCATATCATGTTTTAATGTATACCAAGTTTCAAAGAGATCAGTCGAAAAATGTAGGAGATGATTGCCGGATAAAAAAAAAGTTTACGCCGGACAGACGGACGGACGGACGGACAACCCCATTCCATATTTTTTTCTGTCAAAATTTGACGGGCGTATAAAGAGTGTGATCTCAATGTGACCTTGACTTTTGGTGTACAGATTCAAAAGTGATATGTGACGCACTTTCTTCCCATACAACATGTATCCTTAACTATATTGAGCAAATCAGAAATTATGGCTAGGGTAATGTATTTGACCTTCGACCTACACGTGACCTTGCCTTTTTCATAATCTTCCAAAACCAACTAAAACAGAACCAACGGGAAATAGTTGCTTGAGGAATCTAATTAAAATCTTCAATATGCATACATGTCAACCTCTGGACCCTCTTTTTTGAGGGAATTTTACTCTCCAAGTAAACTCCAATAGATGGATGAAAGCCAGTGAAACATTTTACAGCATATCTTCATGGTATGGTGTAAAGTTTGTTTATTGATAAAAATTCCTATTCTAAATCAATTTGAAAAGATGATAAAACAATGTTATCTGTGGTATCATTTTTCCTATGAAAACTTTTCAAAAGCCTCTCTGAGGCACTGTTGCCAGACAAGACTGAAATATCTGGTACACGATAGGTAGAACAAAATGTGTTCTTCGCATTCAATTTGATCAAATGCTAAAAAGTGGGTGTGCAGAGGGACAATCATTTACTAAAATGGACAGTTGACATGTATGTAATATAACAGGAATGCAATCAAATATTAATTCTATATTGGCCTTACTTCCTGTGACACCGAGTGTGGTTTGACCACTGGTTCCAGTTCCCACAGCATTTGTTGCTGAACATTTGTACGACGTGTTGTCATTGCTATCAGCATTGGTGATGGTCAAGGATGGATTATTGACTGTGGATCCAGAGTATTTGCTTCCATCAATGGATATCGAGCTAGTCACATTATTGTCTATACGCTGCCAAAAAACATTGGAATGGGTAGGTGAGGCAGACACTGTACATACCAGTGTGACTGACTGTCCAGTGACAACTGAATAGGATTGCTGGGCAATGGTGACCACGGGCAGACCTGAAATATCAAAAATGAATAAGGTTTAACCAGTCATTGGCATCTTTCAATTATAATCAAAGAAAAGGTCATCGAAATGTGAGCAAGACATGAAAAAGTGTGATCTCAATGTGTTCTTGACTTTGGGTGTACAGATGCAAAAGTGATATGACACACACTTTCTTCCCATACACCATATATCCTTAACATTTTATTGAGCAAATCAGAAATAAAGTATGGCTTAGACAATGTATCTGACCTTTGACATACACGAGACCTTGCCTTTGGATATACAGACCAAATTTTTTGTTTGAGGCACACTCCCTCGCCATCGTCCATTTATGTAAAGATTGTTTTTTAGCTATTTTCAACTAATCAGAAGTTATCATTTCTAGGCAATGAGTTTGACCGTTTTACCTCAATGAGACCTTGATCTTAGGTATACAGGCCCAATAGTGGTACCAGAAGCACTACCTTACTATTCTTATATATATCCCTAAAATAATGTCAGCGAGCCTGAACGATGAGTTTGACTTTAGATCTGAAAATGACCTACCTATACAAACCCAAACAGTGGCTTGTGAACCATCATGCCATCCTACATATATGTCAGTAACTTGATCAATTTAACCTTTGACTTAAGCACAGGGTAAGGGACACCAAGACCGTTCTTTTGTTTTCAGCTCTACATTACTCTTACCTAGATAGGTGTGCTGTGTAATAATAACATTGGGCGAAGTAATTAGTTATTGTCCTGATTGCTTACCAGGTGTATCAACCTATGCTTTGATGTTTAATTCAAAGAAGATGAAATTCTTTTCTGGATTCTTTCTTCTCAATTTATCGATTAAATTTGTTGTTCAACATTATCTTAAATAAGAACTAGTAGCCTCAATTCAAAGTCTATCATGGACCTGTGAAAAATGTATATTCTGAAAACCTTCGACAATTTTCATGAGGTACACAACTTTCGTAGATTTGCAAATTTGAAACCCTTTTGAATTAGTTAGCAACTACACAGTATTAACAAAGGATAGGTTCATATTCATGCATAGACATGATACAACTTTGTAAACAATTATTTGAAGAAGGAGGTATACGCATAAATGTTGTTTACTGTAATGCGTCCTGTAAATTATTGATGAGAGTACAAATATAGAATATATCCAGTATTGTACCATCTGTGAAAATTGGTGAAGGGGGAAATAAAAGGAAAAGTTTATCCACTGCCTTTTTATCAAATAGATTCTTGTCCTCATCATCTCTGGATCACTTTACAAAATAAGAAAAAGAATGACCTTAAAATTTATTGATCTTGCCTTCAAATTCAAATTATTTCTTGTTTACTTTCTTTCGTGGTTTGGAGCTTTCAAATTATTTTGGGGGTACACATTTTCGTGGTTAGCCTGTAAAACGAAACGCACTGATGTTCGTGGCAAGCATCACTGATCACTGAAAGTTTTGAAACAACGTCATTGCGATTTGCAGTTGGCATGGCAAGGTGAATACGGACTTTCTGGTCACCTTTGTATATTACATACATATTCAGTAGACTTCCAGTATGGGGTTACTGATCAATGTTTGTGCAACCCTGGATTCAATGACACTTTGCTTAGATGTGGTCAAGTTAATTTCATTTATACATGTGTGCACTATACGCAAATATTAACGGTAGTCGTTGGTCGGACATAAAATATCGAAATCAATCGATAGCAATTTATAATACGACAGTTTACGCCTTCGGGAACCTCAAAGGTGACTGATTCATACTCGGTACATCTTTAGGTTATATGCAATTTCCGTGTGAAATTTGGAACGCCTTTAGGTTTTATCTTATTCCTGTTTAAAAAGGAAATCGATATCTGAGTTATCCAAGAGCTTGTAATTAGCACCTGGTATATTCCGACAGAAGCACACACTCAAAAGCCCAAGTAACAGAGGTGAAAATCTGGGACTGAAACCGAAATCAATAGTCCCCACTGGGGTTCCCCCAGGGGTGACTAAAAATGCAGGGGTCGGAATTTGGGGCTACTTCGTCAATAAAACACAGCTAATGAAATTGAAAGATACATAATGTTTAGGTTTTGGTTTTAGTAGAAACAGAGCTGAAGGCAAAAACTTAACATTGACAAGAGGCCCATGGGCCTTAACGGTCACCTGATTTATATAATAACTGATATATCGATGTTGCCAAGTGAAAAAGAAATCATTTTGTAACATAGGTAACTTGAACTACATGTAATGCAAAAGTTGTGTGAAAGATCTGGGTAGTATATGTACTATGTACAAATAGTGGTTCCGTCAGTCAGCTGAATTTTGGTAAAGCATCTCAAAAGACCCTCCATAGATATGAAGAGTATTTGATTCTACCATATCTGGGTTTTGAGAAGATTTTTGAAATTTCACTTAATTCGACCCTATTTGGTCCCACCCATCATCCCCTGGGGGTCAGTCAGGGCTGCTTTGTGCATATCAGCAAACTGCTATCCAATACTGATAATGTTAACCACGTTTGAATGCATTATAATGGAAATTAAACAAATGCTGGTCCAAAATGTGGTTTCCCTATATAAACTATAGTAAAGTTAACCCCATCCCGAGGGGGAAACGCGAGACGCCAGGATCATGAAATTCACATTGTGGTAAAGCACCTTAAGACCCTTCCATCTATGAAGAGTAATTGATTCTACCATATCTGGATCTTGAGAAGAAGATTTTTGAAATTTCAGTCAATTCGACCCTTTTTGGCCCCGACCCTTAGGCCCTTCGGGGCTGGGGATCATATAATTCACGATTGCGGTTGACCTTTCGCCATGGAAGGTTTCTGCAAAGTTTCATTGAAATTGGTTCTGGGGTTTTGGAGAAGAAGTCGAAAATGAAAATTGTTTACGGACGCACGACGGACGACGCACGACCCTCGAGGTCGGACAAATGCGATCGCAATAGGTCACTTGAGTCTTTGTCTTAGGTGACCTAAAAAAGCCAGTGAAAAGTGACGTCTAGGTTTCATTTTGCGACATCAATTATTGTAAAGAGACAAAATCTCTTAATAGAACTAATCTAACTATTTTACTGTTACCCTTCACCTTAAAACACCTCAACAAATATGTGTATATGGAGCAATGTGAAAGGGTGAGGAACATTGATTATGTCAAAGAATATGTTTTCATGGAGGAAATTGTGAAAAGGTGAGGAAAATGTCTATATATTATATCCATCGAGCAACTTCTTATATAACGCTTTTCATGATTAATTCTATTTTTTGATAGTTAACAGTAAAATGTTCTGAGAGTCCTTCTTCATAAAATTTAGTTATTCAAAATCTTCCAAAACAAACTAAAAAAAGGTTTAAAATGAAAATAGTTGCTCGAGGAATATAATTAAAATCTTCAATATGCATACATGTCAACCTCTGGACCCTCTTTTTTGAGGGAATTTTACCCTCCAAGTAAACTCCAATAGATGGATGAAAACTTTTCAAAAGCCTCTCTGAGGCACTGTTGCCAGACAAGACTGAAATATCTGGTAAAAAACACGATAGGTAGAACAAAATGTGTTCTTCGCATTCAATTTGATCACATGTTAAATAGTGGGTGTTCAGAGGGACAATACTTTTCTAAAATGGACTGTTGACATGTATGTAATATAACAGGAATGCAATCAAAGATTAATTCTACATTGGCCTTACTTCCTGTGACACCGAGTGTGGTTTGACCACTGGTTCCAGTTCCCACAGCATTTGTTGCTGAACATGTGTACGACGTGTTGTCATTGCTATCAGCATTGGTGATGGTCAAGGATGGATTATTGACTGTGGATCCAGAGTATTTGCTTCCATCAATGGATATTGAGCTAGTCACATTATTGTCTATACGCTGCCAAAAAACATTGAAATGGGTAGGTGAGGCAGACACTGTACATGCCAGTGTGACTGACTGTCCAGTGACAACTGAGTAGGATTGCTGGGCAATGGTGACCACGGGCAGACCTGAAATATCAAAAATGAATAAGGTTTAAACAGTCACTGGACACCTTCAATTATAATTAAAGAAAGGTCATCGAAATGTGACCAAGACATGAAAAAGTGAAAAAGTGATATGCCACACACTTTCTTCCCATTTAACATATATCCTTAACATTTTATTGAGCTATATTGAGCAAATCCGAAATTATGACTTGGACAATGTATCTGACCTTTTACCTAAACGTGACCTTGCCTTTGGGTATACAGACCAAATTTTAGTTTGAGGCACACTCCCTCGCCATCCTCCATTTATTAAAAAAAACATTTAGCTATTTTCAACTTATCAGAAGTTATCATGTCTAGGCAATGAGTGTGGGGTTAGCCTGTTAAACGAAATGCACTGATTTTCGTTACGAACAAAATTAAATTACTGAAATTCAAAGTCTTTAAGTTTGCCTACTTTTCTTTGTTGTTTTTACATCATATTTATACACGTACAATGTATATACTTTTGTGTGCACATTAAGTTCATATAATTTTCACATTTTCGTTCTGTATATTCTTTCGATTTGTAAAAAATGTCCGTTGTATTTATATTCGTGTAACAGTAATCACAACGATTTTGGAGAAATAAAATAAACCCCCCACAATTTAAAATAATTTACAGATTACTTATAGAAAGAAAACCAAGTTTCAGTATGTTATTGCAATAAATTCTTCTTGAGCATCCCATTTATTGTCGAGCAATTTTATAACTAAACAATTCATAAAAAGATAGAAATAAGATTGATTTTTTACCAAATTTTGGCAATTAGTGGATTTCTTATCTATTGAACAACATGAGCCATGCTATGGCAACTGCATTACTTACTTCCTGTCACCGATAGTAATACCTGGGAACTAAGTCCTGTTCCAACTAGATTGCTGGCAAAACAGACATACGTGCCCTGATCTAGACTGTTAGCATTGAACACGGTCAATGATGGACTGTTGACTGATGATCCACCATGATTAGCATTGTCTATTGACAGTGTGGTAGTCCCTCCATTGGGGGGAGTAAACTGCCAGAACACACTTGTATGTGTGGGATTTGCAGAGACAGAACACTGTAAGGTCACAGTTGTCCCTGTGAATACAGATACCATCGTCTGCGAAACAAATCACCTACATATGACCTCGCCCTTTTTGTTTTATCCATTAAAACATATTTTGATGAATGACTTGTACTTCAAAGTTGCCTGTATGATTTCAATATATATATCGTGAATTGTGTAAGGTGAGAACATGTACCCGACAACAATAGTGTTGCTAAAGTTTATCCAGTAAACAGACATAACTTTACAAGCATAACTAAAATACTAAAAAATCCAAAATTCTCAATAAAATCCATGTATATAAGTCTTGTTAATATGCTCAATATATACTGCAATTGCAAATTAAGAAAACAATCAATATTTGAAGACAATGCAGCCATATTTAAAAGCCACATTGAAAAGTAAACAATAACATAGATCAAATGTTGATGAAAATTGTTCTGTTAGGCAGAATGTATATAACTAATTATCTTGTGAACATTAGAAGCTAAGAACATTTCCACAATGATTATTTTAAGAAGATTCAATTATGTTTTTTTGAATTATATTTCTGATCTCTATCATTGTTGGATAACATGCATCACAATTCAATTTTTTGGGGCTGTTGGAATGCATCACTGGGGGTCAAAAGAATATGAAATTCGGGTGGGACACCTTATTGAAAGGGAACCGGAAAATATGTATGATCAAAATGCTGTGATGGTGACTGTTTTACGCATGCGTGCAGAAAAGGGAGCGGGTTTGTTTACATTTATGACTTGACATATCACTCGACATGTGTATACCTTTTTTAAGCAATTGGACACACGTCGGAACAAATGAATGTATTATGAGAGATTAATAATAGAAATCATTAACATTTTAATTTATTTGTCGAAAACAACCTCCACCTGTCGATAATTGCCCCTGTCATTAATGCCACAAAAACAATGATTTCTCCCGCGAATCGTCAGATGTACGCTTATTGCAGATGATGAAATAGAGTACGTTTCCCGACTTCTCCGAAATGCCATCATATAATAACTTACGCAAAACGGTAAACTGGAAAAAACACGTTTGAGGCTTAGACTGTCGATAACTGCCTCCATTGCTCTATTAATTGTAATAGGGGACCATTACAGATGTCCCCCAAACTGCCCCCATAGTCGCAAAGATGCATCAGAAAAGGATAGAATTGCCATAGTACACCTACAATGCAACCAATCAGAATCCTCTGTGTGGTAATTATGGCAACGAAACGTATGCGATTAAATTTCCAGTCTCCTATACCCCTATATACCAATTTTCATCGAAATCCAATAATATCTAACTTGCGACCAATCAGAAGCCTCCGTGTGGTTGCTATGGTAACGAAAATTATGCAGTTTTATTCGCAGTCCCCTAATACCCCTATATAGCAATTTTTTTTTATAAAAATTTAAAAAATATATAAATTTCGACCAATCTGAAATCTCCATATGTCGTTGCTATGAAAACGAAACCTATGCGGTTGACCTCGCAGTCTCCTAATATCCCTATGTACCAATTTTCATCAAAATCAAACAATATCTAAATTTCGACCAATCAGAAGCCTCCGTGTTGTTGCTATGGTAATGAAACTGATGCTTTTTTATTCGCAGTTCCCTAATACCCCTATATATTAATTTTCATTAAAATCGAAAAAGATATAAATTTCTACCAATCAGAAGCCTCCATGTGGTTGTTAGGGCAACGAAACCTATTCGGTTGAATTCGCAGTCCCCTTACACCCCTATATACCAATTTTTATCAAAATCGAACACCGATAGCGCCGACCCATCAAAATTGGACGATATTAAAATTTCGACCAATCAGAAACCTGCATTTGGCCGCCATTTTGAATTGCATTTCGAGAAGTTGAAATTGTGAACTCACGACGATGGACAAAAGGCAATCACAAAAGGTTACACGAGGTTTTGTATAGATACAATGATATTACATTTATAAAGCATTGTCATAAAGTGTACCAAATGGACATGTTTAAAGAAAGATACATAATTGATGTTTGAAGAGAACTAAAATCAAACTGTTTCTTCTAAATGAATCATGCATTATATTGAAAAGTGTTTTCAATATTAAATGGAATCAAGAGAACTGTGAAAGAGGAACATAATATACCATACATTGAATGAGCAGTTGTCTGTATGGTTGTACATAAAGGGCCATAATTCCATAAAATACGGTTGGACAATGATGGTTATCGAACGATTATTGCAATGAACTTTCTCTATGAAGTTCGAAGTTTATCCGTTGAAAACTACTTTAGATATCGAGCGGAGCCTGTTTTGGCAATTGAATAAAGGGTCATAATTCCGTAAATTACAATTCGATAATTCGGGTTATCAAACCTGTCTGAGCTATTACGGTAATGAAACGTCCGATGGAGTTTGAAGTTTATCCATTTAAAACTACTTGAGATATCGTGCGGACACTGTTTCGGCCAATTAATAAAGGGACATAAGTCTGTAAATACCACTTTGATAATTGCGGCTTTCAAACTTGTCCGAGCTATCATTGCAGTTTCAATGGATTAACTTAAAACTTCGTAGGAAGTTTTAAATTAATCCATTGAAACTACTCGAGTTATCGACTGGAGACCGATTGCGACGCCCACCCACCCACGTGATACATGTAACATGATTCGTCCCGTCATCCGATGGGCGTATAAAGAGAAGGGACTTTTTTTAAAGATTTAAAAGCATTTTTTATGTCTATTTTACTGAATTGTTTATTTTCTTCTGTATATAAGTAATATTTTCTGCATTGGATGTAACATTTCATGTTCACATGCTACGTATCTATAAGATATTTACAGATGGATTGTTAACTTTTTCAGTTCTATCTTTAATGTTTACTATTAAGTCTGTTTATAAAAAAAAATCATGCAACTTTGGAAACTAAGAAAACATGCAAAATCTTGTGATGACAAAGCACACTGTTTTTAATGTTTGTAAAAGCTGTTACAACATTTAAATTATCAAGTCAAATGTACTCCTAATAGAACTGGTGGACAACATTGAAAATCACAACAAGAGTACCGCGGGGCGGAACAATATACGCCCGTCAAATGTCATTTAGTGTTACATACGTTATTACATTGAAATAAGATCTGCATCATTCTAAGAGTGGTTAGCTGACATGCTATAAAAATGTAGAAGAAAATCTCCGGACAAAAAATTAAATGCTGAAATCAATAAAGGGCAATACCTTTGTAAAAATCGTCGAATCGAAATTCTTTTAAGGGAGACACAACTTCATATCATGATTATAATGTATACCAAGTTTCAAAGAGATCAGTCGAAAAATGTAGGAGATGATTGCCTGATAAAAAAAAGTTTACGCCGGACAGCAGACGGACGGACGGACAACCCCATTCCATATTTTTTTTGTCAAAATTTGTCGGGCGTATAAAGAGTGTGATCTCAATGTGACCTTGACTTTTGGTGTACAGATTCAAAAGTGATACGTGACGCACTTTCTTCCCATACAACATGTATCCTTAACTATATTGAGCAAATCAGAAATTATGGCTTGGGTAATGTATTTGACCTTTGACCTACACGTGACCTTGCCTTTGGGTATACAGACTAAATTTTAGTTTGAGGCACACTCCCTCGCCATCGTCCATTTATCAAAAGAAAAACATTTAGCAATGTGAAAGGATGAGGAACATTGATTATGTCAAAGAATGTGTTTTCATGGAGGAAATTGTGAAAAGGTGAGGTAAACTTCTATATATTCTTTCATCGAGCAACTTCTTATTGAACCCTTTTCATGATTAATTCTAATTTTGATAGTTAAAAGTAAAATGCTCTGAGAGTCCTTCTCCATAAAAATTAGTTTTTCAAAATCTTCCAAAACCAACTAAAACAGAACCAACCGGAAATAGTTGCTTGAGGAATCTAATTAAAATCTTCAATATGCATACATGTCAACCTCTGGACCATCTTTTTTGAGGGAATTTTACCCTCCAAGTAAACTCCAATAGATGGATGAAAGCCTGTGTAACATTTTACAACATATCTTCATGGTATGGTGTACAGTTTGTTTATTGATAAAAATTCTTATTCTAAATCAATTTGAAAAGATGATAAAACAATGTTATCTGTGGTATCCTTTTTGCTATGAAAACTTTTCAAAAGCCTCTCTGAGGCACTGTTGCCAGACAAGACTGAAATATCTGGTAAAAAACACGATAGGTAGAACCAAATGTTTTCTTCGCATTCAATTTGATCAAATGCTAAATAGTGGGTGTGCAGAGGGCCATCCTTTCCTAAAATGGACAGTTGACATGTATGTAATATAACAGGAATGCAATCAAATATTAATTCTATATTGGCCTTACTTCCTGTGACACCGAGTGTGGTTTGACCACTGGTTCCAGTTCCCACAGCATTTGTTGCTGAACATTTGTACGACGTGTTGTCATTGCTATCAGCATTGGTGATGGCCAACGATGGATTATTGACTGTGGATCCAGAGTATTTGCTTCCATCAATGGATATTGAGCTAGTCGCATTATTGTCTATACGCTGCCAAAAAACACTGGAATGGGTAGGTGAGGCAGCCACTGTACATACCAGTGTGACTGACTGTCCAGTGACAACTGAGTAGGATTGCTGGGCAATGGTGACCACGGGCAGACCTGAAATATCAAAAATGAATAAGGTTTAACCAGTCATTGGACACCTTCAATTATAATCAAAGAAAAGGTCATCGAAATGTGACCAAGACATGAAAAAGTGTGATCTAAATGTGACCTTGACTTTGGGTGTACATATGCAAAAGTGATATGACACACACTTTCTTCCCATACAACATATATCCTTAACATTTTATTGAGCTATATTGAGCAAATCAGAAATTATGGCTTGGACAATGTATCTGATCTTTGACCAATACGTGACCTTTCCTTTGGGTATACATACCAAATTTAGTTTGAGGCACACTCCCTCGCCATCCTCCATTTATCAAAAGAAAACATTTAGCTATTTTCAACTAATCAGAAGTTATCATTTCTAGGCAATGAGTTTGACCGTTTTACCTCAATGAGACCTTGATCTTAGGTATACAGGCCCAATAGTAGTACCAGAAGCACTACCTTACTATTCTTATATATATCCCTAAAATAATGTCAGCGAGCCTGAACGATGAGTTTGACTTTAGATCTGAAAATGACCTACCTATACAAACCCAAACAGTGGTTTGTGAACCATCATGCCATCCTACATATATGTCAGTAACTTGATCAATTTAACCTTTGACTTAAGCACAGGGTAAGGGACACCAAGACCGTTCTTTTGTTTTCAGCTCTACATTACTCTTACCTAGATAGGTGTGCTGTGTAATAATAACATTGGGCGAAGTAATTAGTTATTGTCCTGATTGCTTACCAGGTGTATCAACCTATGCTTTGATGTTTAATTCAAAGAAGATGAAATTCTTTTCTGGATTCTTTCTTCTCAATTTATCGATTAAATTTGTTGTTCAACATTATCTTAAATAAGAACTAGTAGCCTCAATTCAAAGTCTATCATGGACCTGTGAAAAATGTATATTCTGAAAACCTTCGACAATTTTCATGAGGTACACAACTTTCGTAGATTTGCAAATTTGAAACCCTTTTGAATTAGTTAGCAACTACACAGTATTAACAAAGGATAGGTTCATATTCATGCATAGACATGATACAACTTTGTAAACAATTATTTGAAGAAGGAGGTATACGCATAAATGTTGTTTACTGTAATGCGTCCTGTAAATTATTGATGAGAGTACAAATATAGAATATATCCAGTATTGTACCATCTGTGAAAATAGGTGAAGGGGGAAATAAAAGGAAAAGTTTATCCACTGCCTTTTTATCAAATAGATTCTTGTCCTCATCATCTCTGGATCACTTTACAAAATAAGAAAAAGAATGACCTTAAAATTTATTGATCTTGCCTTCAAATTCAAATTATTTCTTGTTTACTTTCTTTCGTGGTTTGGAGCTTTCAAATTATTTTGGGGGTACACATTTTCGTGGTTAGCCTGTAAAACGAAACGCACTGATGTTCGTGGCAAGCATCACTGATCACTGAAAGTTTTGAAACAACGTCATTGCGATTTGCAGTTGGCATGGCAAGGTGAATACGGACTTTCTGTTCACCTTTGTATATTACATACATATTCAGTAGACTTCCAGTATGGGGTTACTGATCAATGTTTGTGCAACCCTGGATTCAATGACACTTTTGCTTAGATGTGGTCAAGTTAATTTCATTTATACATGTGTGCACTTCACGCAAATATTAACGGTAGTCGTTGGTCGGACATAAAATATCGAAATCAATCGATAGCAATTTATAATACGACAGTTTACGCCTTCGGGAACCTCAAAGGTGACTGATTCATACTCGGAACATCTTCAGGTTATATGCAATTTCTGTGTGAAATTTGGAACGCCTTTAGGTTTTATCTTATTCCTTTTTTAAAAAGGAAATCGATATCTGAGTTATCCAAGAGCTTGTAATTAGCACCTGGTATATTCCGACAGAAGCACACACTCAAAAGCCCAAGTAACAGAGGTGAAAATCTGGGACTGAAACCGAAATCAATAGTCCCCACTGGGATTCCCCCAGGGGTGACTAAAAATGCAGGGGTCGGAATTTGGGGCTACTTCGTCAATAAAACACAGCTAATGAAATTGAAAGATACATAATGTTTAGGTTTTGGTTTTAGTAGAAACAGAGCTGAAGGCAAAAACTTAACATTGACAAGAGGCCCATGGGCCTAAACGGTCACCTGATTTATGTAAAAACTGATGTTATCGATGTTGCCAAGTGAAAAAGAAATCATTTTGTAACACAGGTCCCTTAAACTACATGTAATGCAAAAGTAGTGTGAAAGATCTGGGTAGTATATGTACTATGTACAAATAGTGGTTCTGTCAGTCAGCTGAATTTTGGTAAAGCACCTTAAAAGACCCTTCCATAGATATGAAGAGTATTTGATTCTACCATATCTGGGTCTCGAGATGATTTCTGAAATTTCAGTCAATTCGACCCTATTTAGCCCCACCCATCATCCCCAGGGGGTCAGTCAGGGCTGATTTGTGCATATCATCAAACTGCTATCCAATACTGATAATGTTAACCACGTTTGAATGCATTCCAATGGAAATTAAACAAATGCTGGTCCAAAATGTGATTTCCCTATATAAACTATAGTAAAGTTTACCCCCTCCCGAGGGGGAACGCGAGACCCCAGGGTCATGACATTAACAATTATGGTAAAGCACATTAAGACCCTTCCATCTATGAAGAGTAATTGATTCTACCATTTCAGGGTCTTGATGGTGTAAAGTTTGTTTATTAATACAAATTACTTTCCTAAATCAATTTGAAAAGGTGATAAAACAATGTTATCTGTAGTATCATTTTTGCTATGAAAACTTTACAAAAGCCTCTTTGAGGCACTGTTGCCAGACAAGACTGAAAAAACCTGGTAAAAAATACGATAGGTAGAACAAAATGTGTTCTTCGCATTCAATTTGATCACATGTTAAATAGTGGGTGTTCAGAGGGCCATCCTTTCCTAAAATGGACAATTGACATGTATGTAATATAACAGGAATGCAATCAAATATTAATTCTACATTGGCCTTACTTCCTGTGACACCGAGTGTGGTTTGACCACTGGTTCCAGTTCCCACAGCATTTGTTGCTGAACATGTGTACGACGTGTTGTCATTGCTATCAGCATTGGTGATGGTCAAGGATGGATTATTGACTGTGGATCCAGAGTATTTGCTTCCATCAATGGATATCGAGCTAGTCATATTATTGTCTATACGCTGCCAAAAAACACTGGAATGGGTAGGTGAGGCAGCCACTGTACATACCAGTGTGACTGACTGTCCAGTGACAACTGAGTAGGATTGCTGGGCAATGGTGACCACGGGCAGACCTGAAATATCAAAAATGAATAAGGTTTAACCAGTCATTGGACACCTTCAATTATAATCAAAGAAAAGGTCATCGAAATGTGACCAAGACATGAAAAAGTGTGATCTAAATGTGACCTTGACTTTGGGTGTACATATGCAAAAGTGATATGACACACACTTTCTTCCCATACAACATATATCCTTAACATTTTATTGAGCTATATTGAGCAAATCAGAAATTATGGCTTGGACAATGTATCTGATCTTTGACCAATACGTGACCTTTCCTTTGGGTATACATACCAAATTTAGTTTGAGGCACACTCCCTCGCCATCCTCCATTTATCAAAAGAAAACATTTAGCTATTTTCAACTAATCAGAAGTTATCATTTCTAGGCAATGAGTTTGACCGTTTTACCTCAATGAGACCTTGATCTTAGGTATACAGGCCCAATAGTAGTACCAGAAGCACTACCTTACTATTCTTATATATATCCCTAAAATAATGTCAGCGAGCCTGAACGATGAGTTTGACTTTAGATCTGAAAATGACCTACCTATACAAACCCAAACAGTGGTTTGTGAACCATCATGCCATCCTACATATATGTCAGTAACTTGATCAATTTAACCTTTGACTTAAGCACAGGGTAAGGGACACCAAGACCGTTCTTTTGTTTTCAGCTCTACATTACTCTTACCTAGATAGGTGTGCTGTGTAATAATAACATTGGGCGAAGTAATTAGTTATTGTCCTGATTGCTTACCAGGTGTATCAACCTATGCTTTGATGTTTAATTCAAAGAAGATGAAATTCTTTTCTGGATTCTTTCTTCTCAATTTATCGATTAAATTTGTTGTTCAACATTATCTTAAATAAGAACTAGTAGCCTCAATTCAAAGTCTATCATGGACCTGTGAAAAATGTATATTCTGAAAACCTTCGACAATTTTCATGAGGTACACAACTTTCGTAGATTTGCAAATTTGAAACCCTTTTGAATTAGTTAGCAACTACACAGTATTAACAAAGGATAGGTTCATATTCATGCATAGACATGATACAACTTTGTAAACAATTATTTGAAGAAGGAGGTATACGCATAAATGTTGTTTACTGTAATGCGTCCTGTAAATTATTGATGAGAGTACAAATATAGAATATATCCAGTATTGTACCATCTGTGAAAATTGGTGAAGGGGGAAATAAAAGGAAAAGTTTATCCACTGCCTTTTTATCAAATAGATTCTTGTCCTCATCATCTCTGGATCACTTTACAAAATAAGAAAAAGAATGACCTTAAAATTTATTGATCTTGCCTTCAAATTCAAATTATTTCTTGTTTACTTTCTTTCGTGGTTTGGAGCTTTCAAATTATTTCGGGGGTACACATTTTCGTGGTTAGCCTGTAAAACGAAACGCACTGATGTTCGTGGCAAGCATCACTGATCACTGAAAGTTTTGAAACAACGTCATTGCGATTTGCAGTTGGCATGGCAAGGTGAATACGGACTTTCTGGTCACCTTTGTATATTACATACATATTCAGTAGACTTCCAGTATGGGGTTACTGATCAATGTTTGTGCAACCCTGGATTCAATGACACTTTGCTTAGATGTGGTCAAGTTAATTTCATTTATACATGTGTGCACTATACGCAAATATTAACGGTAGTCGTTGGTCGGACATAAAATATCGAAATCAATCGATAGCAATTTATAATACGACAGTTTACGCCTTCGGGAACCTCAAAGGTGACTGATTCATACTCGGTACATCTTTAGGTTATATGCAATTTCCGTGTGAAATTTGGAACGCCTTTAGGTTTTATCTTATTCCTGTTTAAAAAGGAAATCGATATCTGAGTTATCCAAGAGCTTGTAATTAGCACCTGGTATATTCCGACAGAAGCACACACTCAAAAGCCCAAGTAACAGAGGTGAAAATCTGGGACTGAAACCGAAATCAATAGTCCCCACTGGGGTTCCCCCAGGGGTGACTAAAAATGCAGGGGTCGGAATTTGGGGCTACTTCGTCAATAAAACACAGCTAATGAAATTGAAAGATACATAATGTTTAGGTTTTGGTTTTAGTAGAAACAGAGCTGAAGGCAAAAACTTAATATTGACAAGAGGCCCATGGGCCTTAACGGTCACCTGATTTATATAATAACTGATATATCGATGTTGCCAAGTGAAAAAGAAATCATTTTGTAACATAGGTAACTTGAACTACATGTAATGCAAAAGTTGTGTGAAAGATCTGGGTAGTATATGTACTATGTACAAATAGTGGTTCCGTCAGTCAGCTGAATTTTGGTAAAGCATCTCAAAAGACCCTCCATAGATATGAAGAGTATTTGATTCTACCATATCTGGGTTTTGAGAAGATTTTTGAAATTTCACTTAATTCGACCCTATTTGGTCCCACCCATCATCCCCTGGGGGTCAGTCAGGGCTGCTTTGTGCATATCAGCAAACTGCTATCCAATACTGATAATGTAAACCACGTTTGAATGCATTATAATGGAAATTAAACAAATGCTGGTCCAAAATGTGGTTTCCCTGTATAAACTATAGTAAAGTTAACCCCATCCCGAGGGGGAAACGCGAGACGCCAGGATCATGAAATTCACATTGTGGTAAAGCACCTTAAGACCCTTCCATCTATGAAGAGTAATTGATTCTACCATATCTGGATCTTGAGAAGAAGATTTTTGAAATTTCAGTCAATTCGACCCTTTTTGGCCCCGACCCTTAGGCCCTTCGGGGCTGGGGATCATATAATTCACGATTGCGGTTGACCTTTCGCCATGGAAGGTTTCTGCAAAGTTTCATTGAAATTGGTTCTGGGGTTTTGGAGAAGAAGTCGAAAATGAAAATTGTTTACGGACGCACGACGGACGACGCACGACCCTCGAGGTCGGACAAATGCGATCGCAATAGGTCACTTGAGTCTTTGTCTTAGGTGACCTAAAAAAGCCAGTGAAAAGTGACGTCTAGGTTTCATTTTGCGACATCAATTATTGTAAAGAGACAAAATCTCTTAATAGAACTAATCTAACTATTTTACTGTTACCCTTCACCTTAAAACACCTCAACAAATATGTGTATATGGAGCAATGTGAAAGGGTGAGGAACATTGATTATGTCAAAGAATATGTTTTCATGGAGGAAATTGTGAAAAGGTGAGGAAAACGTCTATATATTATATCCATCGAGCAACTTCTTATATAACGCTTTTCATGATTAATTCTATTTTTTGATAGTTAACAGTAAAATGTTCTGAGAGTCCTTCTTCATAAAATTTAGTTATTCAAAATCTTCCAAAACAAACTAAAAAAAGGTTTAAAATGGAAATAGTTGCTCGAGGAATATAATTAAAATCTTCAATATGCATACATGTCAACCTCTGGACCCTCTTTTTTGAGGGAATTTTACCCTCCAAGTAAACTCCAATAGATGGATGAAAGCCAGTGTAACATTTTACATGATATCTTCATGGTATGGTGTAAAGTTTGTTTATGAATAAAAATTACTTTCCAAAATCAATTTGAAAAGGTGATAAAACATTGTTATCTGTAGTATCATTTTTGCTATGAAAACTTTGCAAAAGCCTCTTTGAGGCACTGTTGCCAGACAAGACTTAAAAATCTGGTTAAAAAAACGATAGGTAGAACAAAATGTGTTCTTCGCATTCAATTTGATCACATGTTAAATAGTGGGTGTTCAGAGGGACAATCCTTTTCTGAAATGGACTGTTGACATGTATGTAATATAACAGGAATGCAATCAAAGATTAATTCTACATTGGCCTTACTTCCTGTGACACCGAGTGTGGTTTGACCACTGGTTCCAGTTCCCACAGCATTTGTTGCTGAACATGTGTACGACGTGTTGTCATTGCTATCAGCATTGGTGATGGTCAAGGATGGATTATTGACTGTGGATCCAGAGTATTTGCTTCCATCAATGGATATTGAGCTAGTCACATTATTGTCTATACGCTGCCAAAAAACATTGAAATGGGTAGGTGAGGCAGACACTTTACATGCCAGTGTGACTGACTGTCCAGTGACAACTGAGTAGGATTGCTGGGCAATGGTGACCACGGGCAGACCTGAAATATCAAAAATGAATAAGGTTTAACCAGTCACTGGACACCTTCAATTATAATTAAAGAAAAGGTCATCGAAATGTGACCAAGACATGAAAAAGTGAAAAAGTGATATGCCACACACTTTCTTCCCATTTAACATATATCCTTAACATTTTATTGAGCTATATTGAGCAAATCTGAAATTATGACTTGGACAATGTATCTGACCTTTGACCTAAACGTGACCTTTCCTTTGGGTATACAGACCAAATTTTAGTTTGAGGCACACTCCCTCGCCATCCTCCATTTATAAAAAAAAACATTTAGCTATTTTCAACTAATCAGAAGTTATCATGTCTAGGCAATGAGTGTGGGGTTAGCCTGTAAAACGAAATGCACTGATTTTCGTTACGAACAAAATTGAATCACTGAAATTCAAAGTCTTTAAGTTTGCCTACTTTTCTTTGTTGTTTTTACATCATATTTATACACGTACAATGTATATACTTTTGTGCGCACATTAAGTTCATATAATTTTCACATTTTCGTTCTGTATATTCTTTCGATTTGTAAAAAATATCCGTTGTATTTATATTCGTGTAACAGTAATCACAACGTTTTTGGAGAAATAAAATAAACCCCCCACAATTTAAAATAATTTACAGATTACTTATAGAAAGAAAACCAAGTTTCAGTATGTTATTGCAATAAATTCTTCTTGAGCATCCCATTTATTGTCGAGCAATTTTATAACTAAACAATTCATAAAAAGATAGAAATAAGATTGATTTTTTACCAAATTTTGGCAATTAGTGGATTTCTTATCTATTGAACAACATGAGCCATGCTATGGCAACTGCATTACTTACTTCCTGTCACCGATAGTAATACCTGGGAACTAAGTCCTGTTCCAACTAGATTGCTGGCAAAACAGACATACGTGCCCTGATCTAGACTGTTAGCATTGAACACGGTCAATGATGGACTGTTGACTGATGATCCACCATGATTAGCATTGTCTATTGACAGTGTGGTAGTCCCTCCATTGGGGGGAGTAAACTGCCAGAACACACTTGTATGTGTGGGATTTGCAGAGACAGAACACTGTAAGGTCACAGTTGTCCCTGTGAATACAGAAACCATCGTCTGCGAAACAGTGACTGTTGGTATGCCTACAACAAAACAAAGTAAGAGATCACCTACATATGACCTCGCCCTTTTTGTTTTATCCATTAAAACATATTTTGATGAATGACTTGTACTTCAAAGTTGCCTGTATGATTTCAATATATATATCGTGAATTGTGTAAGGTGAGAACATGTACCCGACAACAATAGTGTTGCTAAAGTTTATCCAGTAAACAGACATAACTTTACAAGCATAACTAAAATACTAAAAAATCCAAAGTTCTCAATAAAATCCATGTATATAAGTCTTGTTAATATGCTCAATATATACTGCAATTGCAAATTAAGAAAACAATCAATATTTGAAGACAATGCAGGCATATTTAAAAGCCACATTGAAAAGTAAACAATTACATAGATCAAATGTTGATGAAAATTGTTCTGTTAGGCAGAATGTATATAACTAATTATCTTGTGAACATTAGAAGCTAAGAACATTTCCACAATGTTTATTTTAAGAAGATTCAATTATGTTTTTTTGAATTATATTTCTGATCTCTATCATTGTTGGATAACATGCATCACAATTCAATTTTTTGGGGCTGTTGGAATGCATCACTGGGGGTCAAAAGAATATGAAATTCGGGTGGGACACCTTATTGAAAGGGAACCGGAAAATATGTATGATCAAAATGCTGTGATGGTGACTGTTTTACGCATGCGTGCAGAAAAGGGAGCGGGTTTGTTTACATTTATGACTTGACATATCACTCGACATGTGTATACCTTTTTTAAGCAATTGGACACACGTCGGAACAAATGAATGTATTATGAGAGATTAATAATAGAAATCATTAACATTTTAATTTAGTTGTCGAAAACAACCTCCACCTGTCGATAATTGCCCCTGTCATTAATGCCACAAAAACAATGATTTCTCCCGCGAATCGTCAGATGTACGCTTATTGCAGATGATGAAATAGAGTACGTTTCCCGACTTCTCCGAAATGCCATCATATCATAACTTACGCAAAACGGTAAACTGGAAAAAACACGTTTGAGGCTTAGACTGTCGATAACTGCCTCCATTGCTCTACTAATTGTAATAGGGGACCATTACAGATGTCCCCCAAACTGCCCCCATAATCGCAAAGATGAATCAGAAAAGGATAGAATTGCCATAGTACATCTACAATGCAACCAATCAGAATCCTCTGTGTGGTTACTATGGAAACGAAACGTATGCGATTAAATTTCCAGTCCCCTAATACCCCTATATACCAATTTTCATTGAAATCCAATAATATCTAACAGTTTTATTCGCAGTCCCCTAATACCCCTATATAGCAATTTTTATAAAAATTAAAAAAATATATAAATTTCGACCAATCTGAAATCTCAATATGTCGTTGCTATGAAAACGAAACCTATGCGGTTGACTTCGCAGTTTCCTAATATCCCTATGTACCAATTTTCATCAAAATCAAACAATATCTAAATTTCGACCAATCAGAAGCCTCCGTGTTGTTGCTATGGTAATGAAACTGGTGCTTTTTTATTCGCAGTCCCCTAATTCCCCTATATATTAATTTTCATTAAAACCGAAAAACATATAAATTTCCACCAGTCAGAAGCCTCCATGTGGTTGTTAGGGCAACGAAACCTATTCGGTTGAATTCGCAGTCCCCTTATACCCCTATATACCAATTTTTATCAAAATCGAACACCGATTGCGCCGCCCATCAAAATTGGACGATATTAAAATTTCGACAAACTCGCAGTCCCCTTATTCCCCTATATATTAGTTTTCATTAAAATCGAAAAACATATAAATTTCCACCAATCAGAAGTCTCCATGTGGTTGTTAGGGCAACGAAACCTATTCGGTTGAATTCGCAGTCCCCTTATACCCTTATATACCAATTTTTATCAAAATCGAACACCGATTGCGCCGCCCATCAAAATTGGACGATATTAAAATTTTGACCAATCAGAAGCCTGCATTTGGCCGCCATTTTGAATTACATTTCGAAACTGAGGTTACGATAGTGACCGGTGTCCCATTTATATACCTACATACCAAATTTTATGAAAATCAGACAATATTTAAATTTTGACCAATCAGAGGCCAGGAAATGGCAGCCATTTTGTTTATCGCATAACGAACACCGCAGGTGTGTTCATTGTGTCACACCTCACCTATATACCAAATTTCATCAAAATTGGACGATATTAAAATTTCGACCAATCAGAAGTCTGCATTTGGCCGCCATTTTGAATCCAAAGAGTTTTTTTGTCGAAAACGAGCGCCGTGGCGTTATAATCCCTGTCATCAAGTTTCATTATGTTTCATCCCAAAGAATGAATGTTATAACTGGTTATGGTTTCGGCCAATCAGAGGCAGCGGTGGCCATCTTGGATGGTTGACCCGGAAAAAAAGAGTAAGATGCACAAGTACATGTACACATCAAACTAGTTATGTATGCGAAGTTTTTTATAAGAATCCCATTAGAAGTTCCTGAAATTAAGCGCAGAAGCGGAATAATAATAAAAAGAAGAAGAAGAAGAAGAAGAAGAAGAAGAAGAAGAAGAAGAAGAAGAAGAAGAAGAAGTAAGGAAACGGAACAATAACAATAAGTCTCCCCAACTTCGTCAGGGGTGACTTAATTATAAGAAACGGAGCAAAAACAATATGTCCCCAAATTTTGTTAGGGGGACATACTAAGTTATCAGGAGTGAGACAGCATGAACCACATGTCCTTGTCCTAATAGCACATGTGTATCCGAATCCTCATTTTAAGTAATTGAATATATTGCTATTGGTTAGGGATCTCAATAGTTTAAAATTTAGTGACCAATGCACTTAGTTCCATAAAATGGGACCAAACCCAAGGACACATTCTGATGGCCAGAGGGTGGGGATCTAAATTATTTCAATGTAATGACCCAGAGACTAAGTCTCCAGGGGTGGTGCCGAAACGTAGGTCCAATCAAGCAAATGTGTATTCATCCCTACAAACTCAGCGAGTGTTTATCTGGTTATAGTGTTGGGATCTCAACTCTTTTCAAAGATAGGGCACAGGGACCAATTTCTACTGGATGAGGCAGACCCTTTAGCAAATCTTGGTCGCATATTTGTATTCATTTTCTTAACCTTAGTGACTGTACATAGCTATTTTGTTGGGATCTGAACTGTTTCCACGTTATGACCCGAGGACTAACTCCACCAGGGCAGGGAGGACCAATCGGCCAATCTTGGTAGGCTACATGTATCTGTTTTATCGTGTCTAGTAATTATGTATTTGGTTGTAAAACCTCTGTTTGGCTCCACCAGCAATTACTTCCTCTCTTGATTCTAGCATATCTATGTCAAAACAAGAAGATTGATGTTTTTTTAGCCAATTTGATTCCTACTAGCACTGCTCATCATGCCGTTTTGTTTAGTCATAACCTACATGATGGGAACCAATTAATTCAAAGTTTTAGATGGTCTTTTGCCATTGAATCTTCTAGCAAAATTTTATTGAAATTGGCTTAGTGAATTTTGAGAAGTTGAAATTGTGAACTCACGACGATGGACAAAAGGCAATCACAATAGGTCACACGAGTTTTTGTATAAATACAATGATATTAAATTTATGAAGCATTGTCATAAAGTTTACCAAATGGATATGTTTAAAGAAAGATACATAATTAATGTTTGAAGAAAACTAAAATCAAACTGTTACTTTTAAATTAATCATGCATTATATTGAAAAGTGATTTCAATATTAAATGGAAGCAAGAGCACTGTGAAAAAGGAACATGATATACAAGTCATACATTGAATGAGCAGTTGTCTGTATGGTTGTACATAAAGGGCCATAACTCCATAAATTACGGTTAGACAATGATGGTTATCGAGCGATTATTGCAATGAACTTCCCTATGTAGTTCGAAGTTTATCCGTTGAAAACTACTTTAGATATCGAGCGTAGCCTGTTTTGGCAATTGAATGAAGGGTCATAACTCGGTAAATTACAATTCGATAATTAGGGTTATCAAACCTGTCTGAGCTATAACGGTAATGAAACGTCCTATGAAGATTGAAGTGTATCCATTTAAAACTACTCGAGATATCGTGCGGACACTGTTTCGGCCAATTAATAAAGGGCCATAAGTCTGTAAATAACAGTTTGATAATTGCGGCTTTCAAACTGTCCGAGCTATCATTGCAATAAAACTTCCTACGAAGTTTTAAGTTAATCCATTGAAACTACTCGAGATATCGACTGGACACCGATTGCCCCGCCCACCAACCAACGATATATCGACTGGACACCGATTGCGCCGCCCACACACCCACGTGATACAGTAACATGATTCGTCCCGTCATCCGATGGGCGTATAAAAAGAAGAGACTTTTTTTAAAGACTTAAAAGTATTTTTATGTCTATTTTACTGAATTGTTTATTTTCTCATGTATATAAGTAATATCTTCGGCATTGGATGTAACATTTCATGTTCACATGCTACGTATCTAGTAGATATTTACAGATGGATTGTTAACTTTTTCAGTTCTATCTTTGATATTACTATTAAGTCTGTTTATAAAAAAAAATCATGCAACTTTGGAAACTAAGAAAGCATGCAGGATCTTGTGATGACAAAGCACATTGTTTTTAATGTTTGTAAAAGCCTTAACAAGATTTAAATTATCAAGTCAAACGTACACAGAATAGAATGGTGCTCACCATTGGAAATCACAACAAGAGTACCGCGGGGCGGAACAATATACGCCCGTCGAATGTCATAAAGTGTTATATAAGTTCTTACATTGAAATAAGGTCTGCATCATTCTAAGAGTGGTTAGCTGACATGCTATAAAAATGGAGGAGAAAATCTCCGTACAAAAAATTAAATGATATGAATAAAGGGCAATACCTTTGTAAAAATCGTCGAATCGAAATTCTTTTAAGGGAGACACAACGTCATATCATGATTATAATGTATACCAAGTTTCAAAGTGTAGGAGGAGATCGCCGAATAAACAATTGTTTACGACGGACGGACGACGCCGTACCATAATACTCTCGTCAAATTTGACGGGCGTATACAAATCATGTGATTGACTGGGATAACTCTAAAGTTTTGGACAGGGAAAGCAATCTGTTCAAGCGGTAGATAATTAAAGGAATCCATCTGGATACGCCACAGTGGGCCAGTTCTAAAAAGAGACGAGGGAGCTCAAAGACTCTTGCACATCTATGACCAATTATAAAACAAAAGACTCTCGCATACTATGACCAAGTATTAAACAAAGCGTAAAACCTATTGTACGTACGCTTACAGCGTAGACAAAATCTACACCGATTTTGTGGACAACTCGTTCACATTTTTCACCTTTGTATGCATATGCTTCACTGGTCATTTGTCTGATGAAAGTGCCAGTGTACATATCATACTAGTCATCGGAATGTCACATAGAACATATTTTTGGTTGTGTAAAAAGAACTTTTCATAATCCATACTTACCAACCTGAAGAAAATGTTTAAAAAATCCCACGAATTCCTTGACAGCCCTACTTCATGTCAAAGACAAAACCAATCAAATAATCACACTGGCTCTACTAGGGAAACTACATGCATGAATTTCATTTATATAAAGCAACACCTCATTTATTTATCATAATCAAAACACAATGAATAACAATTTGACTTACTTCCAGTAACTGTCAGTGTTGTGCTACTTTGTCCAGTTCCTACCGAGTTGACAGCAAAGCAGGTGTATGTTCCAGCGTCTCCAATTTCGGAGACTATAATTGTTATGGAAGGAGCATTGACTTGGGAACCAGAGTAGTTGACGCCATCTATGGTGATGACCTGGGAGCCCGATCCAACATCACGCTGCCAGAACACATTGGTGTGGGTGGGATTGGCAGACACGGTACAAGTAAGGGTGATGGAGCTGCCTGCAGTAACACTGTAGCTTGACTGTCCAACAGTGACCGTAGGGACGTCTGAAACGGAGTCACATTGCATTGGCACATATGGGATACAACTCTCACCGGCTAAAAAAGGGATAGTTGGAAATTCAAAAAAAGTCACACTACATAGTGACAAAAAGAAAAGTAAAATAAAAGGCACAGAGGGCCTGTATTCTTCATCTCTCTATTTAAGCACTCGGCCAACATATTGTCTTTAAAGCAGTATTGCAAATACTTCCCATTTTTGGGATCTGTCTCTCAGCCCTGGCTGTATGTGTACATTTCTATTTAATGACCAGAAACTAAATCCCCAGACGCAGGGCCAGATCAGTGGCTAATCATAGTAGAGTACATCAATGTCATAATATTTTATGCATCGTAATATTCAGCATGACTATTATTTCCACCAATGTACAAAATTTTCTGTAAAATTTTAATGAAAAATATGTGCATTTTGTTGCGTATCACTGTCATTTGCAACCTGCCATGGTAAGCTTCATTTAAGATGCCTCTTAAGTGATATATGTGCAAAATACATGCTGTGATGTTATATAATAAAATAAGAGGACCAATGGGCCTGAATCGCTCACCTGGTATTAATCTCACACTTGTGATCTTAAAAGTGGACTAAAATACAGCTACAGGCAGAATATCAGTGTTTGATTCATAAGAACCTATAAAAAGATTCAAACATATGACGCCTGTGACCTTGAATGTCGAACAAGGACATTAGGTTGAACAGAGATTATAGTCTTCCAACCAAGCATGCTTCGGGCAAAATATCATTACCCTGGACCTTTTGGTTATACATAACAAGTCTTTTAAAGATTTAAACATATATTGACCACTGTGACATTGAATATGGGCGAAGGTCATTCATTTGGACAAACTTGGTAGTCCTTTATCCAAGCATGCTACTGGCCAAATACTATTACCCTGGACGTTTTGCTTATCAAGAAAAAGTCTTTTAAAGGTTTTAAATATATTTGACCCCTGTGACCTTGAATATATGTCAAGGTCACTCGTTTGAACAAACCTGGTAGATCTTTATCCTTGTATGTTACTGGCCAAATATCATTATCCTAGGCTTCTCGTCTATTCAGAAGAAGTTGTTTAAAGGTTTTCAACATATTTGACCCCTGTGACCTTGAATATAAGTAAAGGTCATTCATTTTAACAAACCTGATAGCCCTTCATCCTAGCATGTTAATGACCAAATACCATTATCCTAGGCCTCTTATTTAGTCAGAAGAAATTGTTTAAAGTAAAATATTGACGCCGGACAGCGGACGGAGGGCCAGGTGAGCTGAATCATACTTCCAAAATAAGTCTTAAAGGTGGCTTGTGTGGCTATAATCAGCAAACATAGTTTTGAAATTTGGGTCAGGTTCAAAATATGCATCTTACTACATTTTGTTCCTTCATCACGTGGATGAATGACCTTTAACCTAAACACACAGTAACATAACAAGATTCACGATGATGGTCTTCAAGCTACGGAGATCATTTTAATTTATTTCCTTTTTATTCCAATTCCCCAATGTTTGCTTGTAAAGCAAACTAATAATGAATTCACTATTACAAAAATAAGAAAATTAATGTAAGCTTTCGTCCAAATTTATTCTAAGGCTTTAACAACGATAATCATATTACATGATTATTTTGATTAAAAAAAAATTACGTCAATTTAAAGTCAATGACCAATTGTTCACTTACTTCCAGAAACAGTAACCTGTGTGGAATCACTTCCAATTCCAGCAGAATTTGAAGCAAAGCAGGTGTATGTTCCAGTGTCTGTGATAGAAGCTGTGATGATGGTCAGAGATGGAGAGCCTGTGGTAGCTCCAGAGAAATTAACATCATCAATGATGATTGATGAGGTTTGACCATTGATGGTACGCTGCCAGGAGACATTTGTGACTGCTGTAGTTGATGATACAGAACATGAAATGCTGAAGTTAGTTCCTTCAGTGGTGGCATAGGCGGTTTGGGGGATATTTACGGACGGGATAGCTGTGATAAAAGAAAATATGCTTGATTATATGATACCAACAAATAGGATGTTTTAGGCTCACAAAACAGACTCAATTTTAACAATTTCAAAGTTATGAACCAGTGACCAAGTTTTCAAGGGTAGGGCAAGATTTTTTGTCAACTTGGAAGCAATGTGTATTCATACTAAGCAATATAATGTGTTGTTATGACATGGAAATACATTTCCAAAACATGGGCTAATCCCTTTCACTCTATCCCTTAATCCTTGGGGTCAGACTATTCATTTGTACAATTTTGAAGCACAACTACATTTACATTTCAAACAAATATGGTTCATATATATCTGTTCGTTCAAGAGAAGAATTGAATAAACCGATATAGCCGAATTAGGTTGGTGTTAGCACCTCCATTTGTAAAATCTGAATCCTCACTGAGTGAGAATGTTTATAATCAAAAATGGTAATCATTTATGCTGAAAAGTTCTAGAGGAGAA